CAGAGCTTGCAGAGCAACAGAGCTTGCAGAGCAACAGAGCTTGCAGAGCAACAGAGCTTGCAGAGCAACAGAGCTTGCAGAGCAACAGAGCTTGCAGAGCAACAGAGCTTGCAGAGCAACAGAGCTTGCAGAGCAACAGAGCTTGCAGAGCAACAGAGCTTGCAGAGCAACAGAGCTTGCAGAGCAACAGAGCTTGCAGAGCAACAGAGCTTGCAGAGCAACAGAGCTTGCAGAGCAACAGAGCTTGCAGAGCAACAGAGCTTGCAGAGCAACAGAGCTTGCAGAGCAACAGAGCTTGCAGAGCAACAGAGCTTGCAGAGCAACAGAGCTTGCAGAGCAACAGAGCTTGCAGAGCAACAGAGCTTGCAGAGCAACAGAGCTTGCAGAGCAACAGAGCTTGCAGAGCAACAGAGCTTGCAGAGCAACAGAGCTTGCAGAGCAACAGAGCTTGCAGAGCAACAGAGCTTGCAGAGCAACAGAGCTTGCAGAGCAACAGAGCTTGCAGAGCAACAGAGCTTGCAGAGCAACAGAGCTTGCAGAGCAACAGAGCTTGCAGAGCAACAGAGCTTGCAGAGCAACAGAGCTTGCAGAGCAACAGAGCTTGCAGAGCAACAGAGCTTGCAGAGCAACAGAGCTTGCAGAGCAACAGAGCTTGCAGAGCAACAGAGCTTGCAGAGCAACAGAGCTTGCAGAGCAACAGAGCTTGCAGAGCAACAGAGCTTGCAGAGCAACAGAGCTTGCAGAGCAACAGAGCTTGCAGAGCAACAGAGCTTGCAGAGCAACAGAGCTTGCAGAGCAACAGAGCTTGCAGAGCAACAGAGCTTGCAGAGCAACAGAGCTTGCAGAGCAACAGAGCTTGCAGAGCAACAGAGCTTGCAGAGCAACAGAGCTTGCAGAGCAACAGAGCTTGCAGAGCAACAGAGCTTGCAGAGCAACAGAGCTTGCAGAGCAACAGAGCTTGCAGAGCAACAGAGCTTGCAGAGCAACAGAGCTTGCAGAGCAACAGAGCTTGCAGAGCAACAGAGCTTGCAGAGCAACAGAGCTTGCAGAGCAACAGAGCTTGCAGAGCAACAGAGCTTGCAGAGCAACAGAGCTTGCAGAGCAACAGAGCTTGCAGAGCAACAGAGCTTGCAGAGCAACAGAGCTTGCAGAGCAACAGAGCTTGCAGAGCAACAGAGCTTGCAGAGCAACAGAGCTTGCAGAGCAACAGAGCTTGCAGAGCAACAGAGCTTGCAGAGCAACAGAGCTTGCAGAGCAACAGAGCTTGCAGAGCAACAGAGCTTGCAGAGCAACAGAGCTTGCAGAGCAACAGAGCTTGCAGAGCAACAGAGCTTGCAGAGCAACAGAGCTTGCAGAGCAACAGAGCTTGCAGAGCAACAGAGCTTGCAGAGCAACAGAGCTTGCAGAGCAACAGAGCTTGCAGAGCAACAGAGCTTGCAGAGCAACAGAGCTTGCAGAGCAACAGAGCTTGCAGAGCAACAGAGCTTGCAGAGCAACAGAGCTTGCAGAGCAACAGAGCGTGCAGAGCAACAGAGCTTGCAGAGCAACAGAGCTTGCAGAGCAACAGAGCGTGCAGAGCAACAGAGCGTGCAGAGCAACAGAGCGTGCAGAGCAACAGAGCGTGCAGAGCAACAGAGCTTGCAGAGCAACAGAGCTTGCAGAGCAACAGAGCGTGCAGAGCAACAGAGCGTGCAGAGCAACAGAGCGTGCAGAGCAACAGAGCACCAACAAGGTCTCACCCGGAGCAGCAGCCCCCACGTGGATGGCATCACACGGGCCAGCCTCAGGGTACCCCTCCTGCCCATCCGAGTTGACTTTGAGTCGACTCAAAGGTCATGCACAGCGCAAGGGCATGCACAGAGCCGGCCAGAGCGAGCAGAGAGTCTTACCTGGAGCAGCAGCGCCCACGTGGATGGCATCATATGGAATGGACCCACGTCTACAGGGCCAGCCAGAGCATGAACAGGGACTCACCGGCAGCAGCAGCGCCCACGTGGATGACATCATATGGGCCCGCCTCAGGGTACCCCTCCCGCCCATCCGCCTCTGGGAAGGAGGACGGAAGAGGGAGGAGGAGGGATTGGTGAGATGGGCGGAGGAGACGGTGAGATGAGAATTGACTGCGAGGCGGTGGTGGGAGTAAAGGAAGGCGATAGTAGGGGGAAGGTGGGTGGGACGGGCGCGATGCAAGGGACACTTTGATATGAACAAGGAGAGACGTGGCAGGTAGGGAAAGGGAGAGAGACACGGGGGTTGAGAAACAGGACCTCCACAGCAGGGTAGGATGCAGAAGAACACTCGTCTTCCCTCTTTCCCCTTCTCCCCTCTTTCCCCTTCTTCCCTCTTTCCCCTTCTTCCCTCTTCCCCCCTCCCTTTCGCCACCCCCCTCCCCGTTTCCCCCTCATCCAAACCCCACCATGTCAACCAACCATGTATCGACAGCTGTCCACCGTCCATCAGTTCTGCCGCCCGGCCGGCCTGCACTGCCGCCCGGGACCGCTCCACGAGCTCCGGAATGTGCTCCACGCCCACCGCCCGCCCCGTGGGGCCCACCAATAGCGCCATGACAGCTGTCAGGTAGCCCGAGCCCGACCCCACGTCGAGCACGCGGTTACCGGGTTGCAGGTGATTCTCTAGAAAGGCAAGGCAGTAGCCGTGCTGGTGGGGCAAAGAAGGGGGTTGGAGTGGGGGGAATGGCGGATGGTAGGGGGTGATGGGGGTGGTGAGGAGGGGAATTTGAAGGGGGAAGGAGGAAAAGAGGTGACCATTACTCACTCGTAGCCCGACCACACGTCCAGAACGCGGTTACCCGATTACAGGTGATTCTCTAGAAAGGCGCGGCAGCAGCCGTGCGGGTTGGGGGGTGGCGATGGCGAGGAGGTTGCATCTACGAGTGACCGAAAAGTGAGCAAGGTATCGCACCAGCATTTAGAATAGTTACGTACCATGTGAGGTGCGGAAATGGTGACGTTGAAACCTGCTCATGAACGGTGAATGCCATCATGTCATCCCACATGCCATGCCACAGGTCACATTCCATGCCCACACATGCAACACAGGCCACATGTCATGCCACATGCCATGCCATGCCACAGCGCACAGTGCACACGCCACAGAAGCGCATGAAGGATTATGGAGACATAAGCATGCGATAAAAATCGTCAGCCATCCGACGTGAGCCATACCACACATGACACACACATGGCACATGCATCGATACCTTACATTCACCTATGGGCTGGGGACATTGTCATAAGCCATTGACTTGGTCAACGCACCTATGGGCTGGGGGAAGTTATCATAGGCCCTTAAATTGGTCAACGCACCTATGGGTTGTGGGGAATCGTCATAAGCCGTTGACTTGGTCAACACGTAGTCAGCGCGGTCAATCTGCTTCATGGCCTCCGCGATGCGCTCTGATTGGACGATTCCGCTGCCTGGCAGGTAGCACGGACAGGACGAGGCAGGGGTGGTTGAGGAAGAGGCAGGGGTGGTTGAGGAAGAGGCAGGGGTGGTTGAGGAAGAGGCAGGGGTGGTTGAGGAAGATGTTGCGGAAGATGTTGCGGCGACTGAGGCTGCTCTAGGCTCGAGGTATTGTGATGAATGTCAGCATGAATGTCTACCTAACATCTAAATGAACTTCTGCATGAATGTCCGCATGAATGCCAACTTGTCTGTATGTCAGCACGAATGTCAGCACATGTATGTCAGCATGACTCAGCATGAATGTCTAGAGAATCCTCCAAAAGAACGATTCATGGTCAACACAAACTGTGGTTGTAATTATAGAGGCATGACTATAGGCATCGCAATCCATCCCTTTATTCACGCACGGAGCAGCTTGTCGACCATCTCGCCGTTACTATCGCCATGGCACGTCCAGCTCATTCTTTCGCTCCGCCTCACACGCTCCCAGAACTCCGAATCCTTCTCTCCTCCCCCGTCTCTTGCGCCACTGCCACCCTCTCGTGGCGCGATCGCCGGCTCCGTCGCTTCCGTCCCCCCCGCGTCGCCACCCTTGCCAAAATGGTAGTTGTCGCTATGCACCCCGCCTTTCGCGGCGCACGATGGGGAAGCGGGAACGAAGAGCGAGCGGTCTGAGAAGAGAATGGAAGCGACGGTGACGGCGAGCGCGGGTAGTGAGCGGAAGGAGCGGCGGAAATGGCGCCGGGAGATGCGGGAAGACGAAGCGATTGAAACTGTCGAAATCATTCAGAAACTCGTCGCTGATTATGAGAAGGAAACTTTACTTCAGACTCTAACACTAAGAGCTCTAGGTTCACCAAGAATCTAAGCTTGCCAAGAACGCAATGCGATCAGCAAGTAAAATTCGAGGAGGAGAAATGATAATGCAGAAACATGGATTCATGGCAATGGCTCCTATGTGAAGATAAGCAAGACTGGAATGCGAAACTTCAGACTAGGGCGTGTTCAATTCCGAATGCGAAAAAAACCCTCCCTTCTGTTCTAGTTGAGCCTTGCCAATCAGACGAAACCACGTGTACCCACAACCCCGTATGAACCCCCAACTCGTCTAATCTTTGAATGGATTGTCTCGCAGTGTGCGCACTCTACACCATCGTCGTCGTGGCATGCACAACAGCTCTGCAGCCAATAGCAGTGGCTAGGTTTGCAGAGCCCAATGCCAAATCACATGGACCCAACGCTTGACCGCCTGCGCACTTCTTCTGCCATCTCTCCAACGAAATCAGGCCCGCACAGTTACAGCTGACGAAAGCGAATCATAAGCTGTTACCGTGTCGCGCTCAGTTCGTGCAAGCCTTCCAGATTTCACTGCCCCTGGCAGGGTCATAAGCACTGGCAGAGGGATAGCTAGAAATGGCTGAAGAGAAAGAAACCTCTGCTGTTGTGTCAGTGTGTCTTAGATGCCGTGCTCTGCAAGCATCCCATCGATTTCACGTTTTGGCGAGGACCAAGGGCAAGGATGCTGGAGATTGTAGTCGTTACGTCGTTTGCATTTCGCTCATAGTACAGACCCGTCAGGCTCTCTCGACTTCTTCTTCTTCTTCTTCTTCTTCTTCTTCTTCTTCTTCTTCTTCTTCTTCTTCTTCTTCTTCTTCTTCTTCTTCTTCTTCTTCTTCTTCTTCTTCTTCTTCTTCTTCTTCTTCTTCTTCTTCTTCTTCTTCTTCTTCTTCTTCTTCTTCTTCTTCTTCTTCTTCTTCTTCTTCTTCTTCTTCTTCTTCTTCTTCTTCTTCTTCTTCTTCTTCTTCTTCTTCTTCTTCTTCTTCTTCTTCTTCTTCTTCTTCTTCTTCTTCTTCTTCTTCTTCTTCTTCTTCTTCTTCTTCTTCTTCTTCTTCTTCTTCTTCTTCTTCTTCTTCTTCTTCTTCTTCTTCTTCTTCTTCTTCTTCTTCTTCTCTTCTTCTTCTTCTTCTTCTTCTTCTTCTTCTTCTTCTTCTTCTTCTTCTTCTTCTTCTCTTCTTCTTCTTCTTCTTCTTCTTCTTCTTCTTCTTCTTCTTCTTCTTCTTCTTCTTCTTCTTCTTCTTCTTCTTCTTCTTCTTCTTCTTCTTCTTCTTCTTCTTCTTCTTCTTCTTCTTCTTCTTCTTCTTCTTCTTCTTCTTCTTCTTCTTCTTCTTCTTCTTCTTCTTCTTCTTCTTCTTCTTCTTCTTCTTCTTCTTCTTCTTCTTCTTCTTCTTCTTCTTCTTCTTCTTCTTCTTCTTCTTCTTCTTCTTCTTCTTCTTCTTCTTCTTCTTCTTCTTCTTCTTCTTCTTCTTCTTCTTCTTCTTCTTCTTCTTCTTCTTCTTCTTCTTCTTCTTCTTCTTCTTCTTCTTCTTCTTCTTCTTCTTCTTCTTCTTCTTCTTCTTCTTCTTCTTCTTCTTCTTCTTCTTCTTCTTCTTCTTCTTCTTCTTCTTCTTCTTCTTCTTCTTCTTCTTCTTCTTCTTCTTCTTCTTCTTCTTCTTCTTCTTCTTCTTCTTCTTCTTCTTCTTCTTCTTCTTCTTCTTCTTCTTCTTCTTCTTCTTCTTCTTCTTCTTCTTCTTCTTCTTTCTTCTTTTCTTCTTCTTCTTCTTCTTCTTCTTCTTCTTCTTCTTCTTCTTCTTCTTCTTCTTCTTCTTCTTCTTCTTCTTCTTCTTCTTCTTCTTCTTCTTCTTCTTCTTCTTCTTCTTCTTCTTCTTCTTCTTCTTCTTCTTCTTCTTCTTCTTCTTCTTCTTCTTCTTCTTCTTCTTCTTCTTCTTCTTCTTCTTCTTCTTCTTCTTCTTCTTCTTCTTCTTCTTCTTCTTCTTCTTCTTCTTCTTCTTCTTCTTCTTCTTCTTCTTCTTCTTCTTCTTCTTCTTCTTCTTCTTCTTCTTCTTCTTCTTCTTCTTCTTCTTCTTCTTCTTCTTCTTCTTCTTCTTCTTCTTCTTCTTCTTCTTCTTCTCTTCTTCTTCTTCTTCTTCTTCTTCTTCTTCTTCTTCTTCTTCTTCTTCTTCTTCTTCTTCTTCTTCTTCTTCTTCTTCTTCTTCTTCTTCTTCTTCTTCTTCTTCTTCTTCTTCTTCTTCTTCTTCTTCTTCTTCTTCTTCTTCTTCTTCTTCTTCTTCTTCTTCTTCTTCTTCTTCTTCTTCTTCTTCTTCTTCTTCTTCTTCTTCTTCTTCTTCTTCTTCTTCTTCTTCTTCTTCTTCTTCTTCTTCTTCTTCTTCTTCTTCTTCTTCTTCTTCTTCTTCTTCTTCTTCTTCTTCTTCTTCTTCTTCTTCTTCTTCTTCTTCTTCTTCTTCTTCTTCTTCTTCTTCTTCTTCTTCTTCTTCTTCTTCTTCTTCTTCTTCTTCTTCTTCTTCTTCTTCTTCTTCTTCTTCTTCTTCTTCTTCTTCTTCTTCTTCTTCTTCTTCTTCTTCTTCTTCTTCTTCTTCTTCTTCTTCTTCTTCTTCTTCTTCTTCTTCTTCTTCTTCTTCTTCTTCTTCTTCTTCTTCTTCTTCTTCTTCTTCTTCTTCTTCTTCTTCTTCTTCTTCTTCTTCTTCTTCTTCTTCTTCTTCTTCTTCTTCTTCTTCTTCTTCTTCTTCTTCTTCTTCTTCTTCTTCTTCTTCTTCTTCTTCTTCCCCACTGGTGAAGCTAGAGCAGGCCTTCCAGTCGCCCCCGCTCGCCCTGCAATTTGACTGCTTCAACCCGCACCTCCTGCTGGTTGTAGAGCGGTGCAGTGCGGTGCACGCTGTGGACGTGCGAGCACCCCATGCCAGGCAGCAGATCCAAGTGGTGAGTACCCTCTCTCCGCCTTTTCCGCTCTCTCCTCTCCCTCTCTCTCTCATCGTCCTGTCTCATATTTCTCTCCTCTCTGTCCTCCATCTCTTACGATCGACTCCCTCTCCTTATGTCTCTCGTATGCAGCACCGCCAGCCATCATCAGAAGCAGAGGAGCAGAGGCAGCAGAGGGAGGACGCAAGGGAGGATGGCCGTTGGGTAGTGGCTCTCGAGGGTCTTCCCCCCACCGCTGTGCCTCATGCTGCTGCTGCCGCTGCTGCTCGTGCTGCCGATGCTGCTGACGCGGCCACTGCTGCTGCTGCTCGTGCTGCTAATTCTGCTGATGCTGCTACTGCCGCCGCTGCCCGTGCTGCTGCTGCTGGTGCTGGTGCTGCTCCTGCTGGTGGTGGTCGTGCTGCCGCTGGTGCTGCTTCCGCCGCTGCTGGTGCTGCAGCCGCCCTCGCTGGGGCTGTTTCCGCTGCTGATGGTGCCGCTCGTGCTGCTGATGGTGCTGGCCGTGCTGCTGGTGCTGCTGTGGCTGCTCGTGCGACAGTGGGGGGAGTGGTGGGCGGCATGGTGGACGCAGCACAGGACCAGCTGAGGCGACGTCTGCACCAGTTGGAGCAGCTGTTGCATCGCCGCAACCAGCCGCCCGTCAGCGACGTGGTGGGGCTGGCGGCTTACCACCACCCTGGAGTTCTTGTCTCGACTGAAACCACTGTCTTCCAGGTGAATTCTGATTGCTGCTGGAACGCTGTGAAGTGGTGTGCCTTGATGTGCTGTGAATGCAACCAGCCATCTGTCCGCGACGTGGTGGGGCTCGCAGGCTTACCATCATCCGGGAGTGCTCGTGTCGACAGAAACCACTGTCTTCCAGGTGAGCATGACTGTTGCTGGGATGCCTTGAGTGAGCATGTTTCGATGCACTGGAGAGTGCAACCTGCTGCCTGTCAGCAAGGTGGTGGGGCTCGCGGCTTACCACCACCCCGTTGCTCGTGTCGACAGAAACCACTGTCTTCCAGGTGCGCTGATTCTTGAGGCGCCTCCCCTTTGATGGGAATCAGCTCAAAAGTCGACCGCTGGTGCCCAGGTCAGCTGGCTTTGGAGGCGCCTCAAAGTCGACCGCTGGTGCCCAGGTCAGCTGGCTTTGGAGGCGCCTCAAAGTCGACCGCTGTTGCCCAGGTCAGCTGGCTTTGGAGGCGCCTCAAAGTCGACCGCTGGTGCCCAGGTCAGCTGGCTTTGGAGGCGCCTCAAAGTCGACCGCTGTTGCCCAGGTCAGCTGGCTTTGGAGGCGCCTCAAAGTCGACCGCTGTTGCCCAGGTCAGCTGGCTTTGGAGGCGCCTCAAAGTCGACCGCTGTTGCCCAGGTCAGCTGGCTTTGGAGGCGCCTCAAAGTCGACCGCTGTTGCCCAGGTCAGCTGGCTTTGGAGGCGCCTCAAAGTCGACCGCTGGTGCCCAGGTCAGCTGGCTTTGGAGGCGCCTCAAAGTCGACCGCTGTTGCCCAGGTCAGCTGGCTTTGGAGGCGCCTCAAAGTCGACCGCTGTTGCCCAGGTCAGCTGGCTTTGGAGGCGCCTCAAAGTCGACCGCTGTTGCCCAGGTCAGCTGGCTTTGGAGGCGCCTCAAAGTCGACCGCTGTTGCCCAGGTCAGCTGGCTTTGGAGGCGCCTCAAAGTCGACCGCTGTTGCCCAGGTCAGCTGGCTTTGGAGGCGCCTCAAAGTCGACCGCTGTTGCCCAGGTCAGCTGGCTTTGGAGGCGCCTCAAAGTCGACCGCTGGTGCCCAGGTCAGCTGGCTTTGGAGGCGCCTCAAAGTCGACCGCTGTTGCCCAGGTCAGCTGGCTTTGGAGGCGCCTCAAAGTCGACCGCTGTTGCCCAGGTCAGCTGGCTTTGGAGGCGCCTCAAAGTCGACCGCTGTTGCCCAGGTCAGCTGGCTTTGGAGGCGCCTCAAAGTCGACCGCTGGTGCCCAGGTCAGCTGGCTTTGGAGGCGCCTCAAAGTCGACCGCTGTTGCCCAGGTCAGCTGGCTTTGGAGGCGCCTCAAAGTCGACCGCTGGTGCCCAGGTCAGCTGGCTTTGGAGGCGCCTCAAAGTCGACCGCTGTTGCCCAGGTCAGCTGGCTTTGGAGGCGCCTCAAAGTCGACCGCTGTTGCCCAGGTCAGCTGGCTTTGGAGGCGCCTCAAAGTCGACCGCTGTTGCCCAGGTCAGCTGGCTTTGGAGGCGCCTCAAAGTCGACCGCTGTTGCCCAGGTCAGCTGGCTTTGGAGGCGCCTCAAAGTCGACCGCTGTTGCCCAGGTCAGCTGGCTTTGGAGGCGCCTCAAAGTCGACCGCTGTTGCCCAGGTCAGCTGGCTTTGGAGGCGCCTCAAAGTCGACCGCTGTTGCCCAGGTCAGCTGGCTTTGGAGGCGCCTCAAAGTCGACCGCTGTTGCCCAGGTCAGCTGGCTTTGGAGGCGCCTCAAAGTCGACCGCTGTTGCCCAGGTCAGCTGGCTTTGGAGGCGCCTCAAAGTCGACCGCTGTTGCCCAGGTCAGCTGGCTTTGGAGGCGCCTCAAAGTCGACCGCTGTTGCCCAGGTCAGCTGGCTTTGGAGGCGCCTCAAAGTCGACCGCTGTTGCCCAGGTCAGCTGGCTTTGGAGGCGCCTCAAAGTCGACCGCTGTTGCCCAGGTCAGCTGGCTTTGGAGGCGCCTCAAAGTCGACCGCTGTTGCCCAGGTCAGCTGGCTTTGGAGGCGCCTCAAAGTCGACCGCTGTTGCCCAGGTCAGCTGGCTTTGGAGGCGCCTCAAAGTCGACCGCTGTTGCCCAGGTCAGCTGGCTTTGGAGGCGCCTCAAAGTCGACCGCTGTTGCCCAGGTCAGCTGGCTTTGGAGGCGCCTCAAAGTCGACCGCTGTTGCCCAGGTCAGCTGGCTTTGGAGGCGCCTCAAAGTCGACCGCTGTTGCCCAGGTCAGCTGGCTTTGGAGGCGCCTCAAAGTCGACCGCTGTTGCCCAGGTCAGCTGGCTTTGGAGGCGCCTCAAAGTCGACCGCTGTTGCCCAGGTCAGCTGGCTTTGGAGGCGCCTCAAAGTCGACCGCTGTTGCCCAGGTCAGCTGGCTTTGGAGGCGCCTCAAAGTCGACCGCTGTTGCCCAGGTCAGCTGGCTTTGGAGGCGCCTCAAAGTCGACCGCTGTTGCCCAGGTCAGCTGGCTTTGGAGGCGCCTCAAAGTCGACCGCTGTTGCCCAGGTCAGCTGGCTTTGGAGGCGCCTCAAAGTCGACCGCTGTTGCCCAGGTCAGCTGGCTTTGGAGGCGCCTCAAAGTCGACCGCTGTTGCCCAGGTCAGCTGGCTTTGGAGGCGCCTCAAAGTCGACCGCTGTTGCCCAGGTCAGCTGGCTTTGGAGGCGCCTCAAAGTCGACCGCTGTTGCCCAGGTCAGCTGGCTTTGGAGGCGCCTCAAAGTCGACCGCTGTTGCCCAGGTCAGCTGGCTTTGGAGGCGCCTCAAAGTCGACCGCTGTTGCCCAGGTCAGCTGGCTTTGGAGGCGCCTCAAAGTCGACCGCTGTTGCCCAGGTCAGCTGGCTTTGGAGGCGCCTCAAAGTCGACCGCTGTTGCCCAGGTCAGCTGGCTTTGGAGGCGCCTCAAAGTCGACCGCTGTTGCCCAGGTCAGCTGGCTTTGGAGGCGCCTCAAAGTCGACCGCTGTTGCCCAGGTCAGCTGGCTTTGGAGGCGCCTCAAAGTCGACCGCTGTTGCCCAGGTCAGCTGGCTTTGGAGGCGCCTCAAAGTCGACCGCTGTTGCCCAGGTCAGCTGGCTTTGGAGGCGCCTCAAAGTCGACCGCTGTTGCCCAGGTCAGCTGGCTTTGGAGGCGCCTCAAAGTCGACCGCTGTTGCCCAGGTCAGCTGGCTTTGGAGGCGCCTCAAAGTCGACCGCTGTTGCCCAGGTCAGCTGGCTTTGGAGGCGCCTCAAAGTCGACCGCTGTTGCCCAGGTCAGCTGGCTTTGGAGGCGCCTCAAAGTCGACCGCTGTTGCCCAGGTCAGCTGGCTTTGGAGGCGCCTCAAAGTCGACCGCTGTTGCCCAGGTCAGCTGGCTTTGGAGGCGCCTCAAAGTCGACCGCTGTTGCCCAGGTCAGCTGGCTTTGGAGGCGCCTCAAAGTCGACCGCTGTTGCCCAGGTCAGCTGGCTTTGGAGGCGCCTCAAAGTCGACCGCTGTTGCCCAGGTCAGCTGGCTTTGGAGGCGCCTCAAAGTCGACCGCTGTTGCCCAGGTCAGCTGGCTTTGGAGGCGCCTCAAAGTCGACCGCTGTTGCCCAGGTCAGCTGGCTTTGGAGGCGCCTCAAAGTCGACCGCTGTTGCCCAGGTCAGCTGGCTTTGGAGGCGCCTCAAAGTCGACCGCTGTTGCCCAGGTCAGCTGGCTTTGGAGGCGCCTCAAAGTCGACCGCTGTTGCCCAGGTCAGCTGGCTTTGGAGGCGCCTCAAAGTCGACCGCTGTTGCCCAGGTCAGCTGGCTTTGGAGGCGCCTCAAAGTCGACCGCTGTTGCCCAGGTCAGCTGGCTTTGGAGGCGCCTCAAAGTCGACCGCTGTTGCCCAGGTCAGCTGGCTTTGGAGGCGCCTCAAAGTCGACCGCTGTTGCCCAGGTCAGCTGGCTTTGGAGGCGCCTCAAAGTCGACCGCTGTTGCCCAGGTCAGCTGGCTTTGGAGGCGCCTCAAAGTCGACCGCTGTTGCCCAGGTCAGCTGGCTTTGGAGGCGCCTCAAAGTCGACCGCTGTTGCCCAGGTCAGCTGGCTTTGGAGGCGCCTCAAAGTCGACCGCTGTTGCCCAGGTCAGCTGGCTTTGGAGGCGCCTCAAAGTCGACCGCTGTTGCCCAGGTCAGCTGGCTTTGGAGGCGCCTCAAAGTCGACCGCTGTTGCCCAGGTCAGCTGGCTTTGGAGGCGCCTCAAAGTCGACCGCTGTTGCCCAGGTCAGCTGGCTTTGGAGGCGCCTCAAAGTCGACCGCTGTTGCCCAGGTCAGCTGGCTTTGGAGGCGCCTCAAAGTCGACCGCTGTTGCCCAGGTCAGCTGGCTTTGGAGGCGCCTCAAAGTCGACCGCTGTTGCCCAGGTCAGCTGGCTTTGGAGGCGCCTCAAAGTCGACCGCTGTTGCCCAGGTCAGCTGGCTTTGGAGGCGCCTCAAAGTCGACCGCTGTTGCCCAGGTCAGCTGGCTTTGGAGGCGCCTCAAAGTCGACCGCTGTTGCCCAGGTCAGCTGGCTTTGGAGGCGCCTCAAAGTCGACCGCTGTTGCCCAGGTCAGCTGGCTTTGGAGGCGCCTCAAAGTCGACCGCTGTTGCCCAGGTGAGCTGGCTTTGGAGGCGCCTCAAAGTCGACCGCTGTTGCCCAGGTCAGCTGACGCCAGGAAAGGGGAGGTGCCTTCTGGATGAGGGATCCGTCTCTCCTTCATAAGTAAACTTTTGAGACGTCTCAGAAGGTGCCTTCTGGATGAGGGATCCGTCTCTCCTTCATAAGTTTCCTTTTCACCACCTTGTGTGAAAATCCGTCTCTCTATCTTTGCACACAACCCCCCCATCCCCCCCCCCCCCCCCCCCACGCCATGGAACCCCTTGGCTACAGTATCCTCGCATGGGAGCCTGGTCACCTGCCTCTCACCGCCTCTATCCCAAACGCTTCAAGGTGAGTGCGGTTCCGTGCTATGAGACGTCCCAGCGTTGCTGCTGTCAGGAGTGAAGTTACAAAGTTTGAAGGCTATGTATGCCCGTCAGGAGTGCACATTCAGCGTGATACGGTCCCCATTCGTCTGTTCTTTAGTCCAATTCGTTAGTCCACGCTTTCCCCGTCGTCCATCGAAACATCTTACTGTATTTACCCTGGCGCACACCTCTGCACCCATCCGCACTCCTCATCAACCAATCTGGACTGCAGGAAGTGGTACGGCTGCTGTTGCTGGGGCACTACTCTACTGAGCAGTGGGATTACACTGCGACCGACAGCCACAGCAGCCAGGCACAGTCTGACAGCAGGTGAGCGTGTGTTGGTTGTTGGGGCACAGGAGGTGATCCAGCTGTTGCTGATGGGTCATTACGGTACCGGGCAGTACGATTACGGTGCTGCTGCTGACAGCCATAGCAGCCACAGCAACCAGGCAGAGTCAGACAGCAGGTGAGGGTGCTTCTTTTCCCAGGTCCGTGGCATTGCCAGGTCTTTCAGCTATGTATCATTATTCATGCTTCAGCAACTGTTCATACTGCATTGATTGCAAGTATACCTTCTGCTGTGATTCAGATATGCTAGTTTTTGTGTGTTCCTTATTTCTCTATTTTCTGTTGTATATGGTTCCCTGGTTCAGGTACCTGTGGTTGCTTCCCCTCGAAGTGTTGCTTCAGATCGTTGGACATGCATCTACACCACTTTCTGTGTGGATTAGTGATGCATAGACCATATTACTAAACGGATTTTTTGTGAATGGGTTACCAACGTTACACTATCTCAGGTATGGTATGTACAGTAGGTGCTACAAGATCTATGTACAAGTTGCGTTGAATAAAGCATGGTACCCTTTATGACGAGCCCATTACGCAAGAACCTAGCAAGCATGCCAGGAAACCACTTCCATGTGAGATGAAATGACAAAGCTAGAGATTCCGTCACCCACATACGGTACTCAGATGTACTGGTGACAAAAGGCAAAGCCTTAGCCCACCAGAAAATCATAAACCTCAGCTATAGCCCCTCCTGCCATTACCAGCCATCTCCAGTTGCTGTCTGCAACCACACACTCGCTACTGCCCCTGTCCCGGTTATTATTACTATCACCCTTACAGTCATCACCACCACTGCTGCCCGCGTTGTCACCATTTTCATCGCTAGCAGCAGTGGCAGAAGAGGCAGTGGTTGAGAGAGGATACATGACAGGAGGGTGAGGCAGATACACCAGGTCTTGCTGGGACTGCTGTGGGGGGTGAATGGTAGTTATGGGGCCTTGGCACCAGGCTCGTCGTTGCGCTACTTGGTTGGAGGGCGACGGAGCTGTAACCGTCTCAGATGAAACCTCGTGACATGAAACGGCATCAGATGTAACGCCATGAGATGTAACGCTGTGGGGTGTAACGATGTTGTGGGCGCATTGAGAGGCAGTCCAGAGGTCGATGGCCCCATCGGCTCTCAGCACCACAGCCGTGGCAGAGGAGGGGGCGATGCAGGGCTGCTGAGAGTCAAAATGAAGCACCTCAGTGAATGGAGGATGGTTCTGGAGGAGCAAGGGGTGGGAGGGAGGCAGGGAACGATTTGGGAGTGCAGGCAAGAGAGCAGTGGCAAAGGAGGGGGTGACGCAGGGCTGCGGAGGAATCTTGTGTGGCACCTCAGTGAACGAGGAGGGGCCCTGGAGGAATTGTTGGGGGAAGGGAGAAGACTGTAGGAGTGCAAGCAAGCAGGAAAGCACACAACAATGGAGGTATGAAAGTGATATGCAATGGAGAGCGGGAATGATGTAGGCATGAAATGTTGAAAAGTTCTGCAAGGGACGCACCTGGGGAAGGAGGGCGCGCCTGGGGGAGGAGGGCGCACCTGGGGGAGGAGGGCGCACCTGGGGGAGGAGGGCGCACCTGGGGGAGGAGGGCGCACCTGGGGGAGGAGGGCGGCTTGATTAGAAGCATCCACGTCCCACACCCGCGCAAAGCTGCCCTCGGGGATGTCATGGTGAGTGTCGGTCACAGTCTGGGGAGATGAGGAGGGACGGTGACAGTGGAAACGATGATGACAGGGAACATAAGAGTGACAAGGTGAGAGTCGTGAGGGAAAGGTCTAGTGCAGTTTGGTGGAGTGGAGTGGAGTGGGGTGGAGTGGAGTGGAGTGGAGTGGAGTGGAGTGGAGTGGAGTGGAGTCTTAACAAGTACGGAGCAGCCTCAAGCGCCATAGAATAGCATAGGATAGTAGCTAGCCACCACATGGCGTGATGCTTGTTTGATAGCGCTACTTGAAGAGAGGTTAATGTGTCTAAGACGTCTACAGTAAGTTCTACTTCAAGTTCAGTAGTTGTTCATTTTCTGGTGGAGTCATGAACCGAACACAACCTAGTTGTAGGTGAAGTTTCAACCCACCCTGCGCTATGTCTTGTATCTCTACAGTTTCAGTTCAACTTTTATCTCACCACCGAACTTCCATGTCTCGTAGAGCATAGGATTTCTGAGAATTCTCAGAAAACAGTACCTTGTAGTACAAAGGCATGGAAAGACATGAGCAGTAGACATGAACACTACAGATGAACAGTGGATAAGAACAGTAGGCATGGACAGGAGACATGAACAGCAGATGCATACAGTGAGGCAGAAAATCCGTTCGTTGAGGGAGAATTGCTGCATCTCCTCCCACAGATCGATTCTCAACGAAATCGACGGCTGTCCGATGCTCTCTCCTCCTCCCTTCATTCCTACTCCACTTCCTCCTCCTCCCTCCCTTGCTCCTCTCCTCCTTCCGCCTCCACCTTCCCCTCTTCCCGCCACTCCTCTGTCCAAGTCATAAACAACGATCAGCCCCTGAGTCGTGCCAATCAGCAGCCGCCAGCCATGCCGTTCTGAGTGGCTGAAGGCGACATCTGAGACAGGATCCTGAAGTAGACAGCGATGATAAATGTCCACAAGAGTGTGACCGGAGAGAATGTGCTGCAAACGAATGATGCATGGGCAGCGGCACACTCTCTTGCCTGACGCCTCGAGATCCTCAGCAGATTCAAAATCTTCAGCAGCCTGTGAACCCGCAGCAGACTGTGAACCCGCAGCAGACTGTGAACCCGCAGCAGCCTGTGAACCCGCAGCAGACTGTGAACCCGCAGCAGACTGTGAACCCGCAGCAGACTGTGAACCCGCAGCAGACTGTGAACCCGCAGCAGCCTGTGAACCCGCAGCAGACTGTGAACCCGCAGCAGCCTGTGAACCCGCAGCAGACTGTGAACCCGCAGCAGACTGTGAACCCGCAGCAGACTGTGAACCCGCAGCAGCCTGTGAACCCGCAGCAGACTGTGAACCCGCAGCAGACTGTGAACCCGCAGCAGCCTGTGAACCCGCAGCAGACTGTGAACCCGCAGCAGACTGTGAACCCGCAGCAGACTGTGAACCCGCAGCAGACTGTGAACCCGCAGCAGACTGTGAACCCGCAGCAGACTGTGAACCCGCAGCAGACTGTGAACCCGCAGCAGCTCGAGCAGTGTTGTTCAGTATTCCCTGACGCTGCTCCTCCGTGCGCCTCATCTCTGCTGCCCACACAGGTATCGTCCCAATGATCGTTGGAGTGTCCAGATTCGCAAAGGGTGACTCTGTGGGCTCCTCACTGCCAATCCCACGCTCAGCAGGGGCGTGAGTGTGTGGCACTACAGCAGCAACCACGCCCGTCCATGGATCGAAGGCCAAAGCACGATCGTACACACACTGCATACTAGCCCATGCTGTGCTGTGCTGTGATGTCCCTGTTGACTGCTGTTGACCGTGCGTTGACTGCTGTTGACTGTGCGTTGACTGGCAAGCATGAGAGCCCAAGTCCCAAAGCCGCATGGTGTGGTCACCGTCGCTCATGCCACTGCGCTCCTCCACCAGCAGATACCCAGGCCGCCCGTATGCCATGCCTCCCTTACACGGGCGAGCCTCCGTCGAGTTTTGATTCGACTCAAAACTCAACTCATTACACGCAGGCCGCCCGTATGCCATGCCTCCCTTACACGGGCGAGCCTTTGTGACGTCTCTCTTGATGAATGCGCAAGGGCTTGCCATGACTCCCTTGGACCGGCGGCCGTGAGTTGTTGCTTCTCGGCCCGTCAGCCCCCCACCCTCCCACCACTCCCGTGGCCCTCTCTTGCCCCTCCTAGGCCGCCATCCCACCTGCTCTTCCTCCCCCTCCTCGCCCTCCTCCCCCTCACTTCTCCCCACACCCCCCTCGCCCCCTCGCACTCTCTCAAGGTCCTCCCACAGCTGCTGCTCTCCCATCCTTCCCTCCACGAACCAGATCGAGCAGCAGGGGGACAGGGAGGGCACGACAACAACACATGTGCCTCCGAATTCACGGGGCTCTGCTGCGCTTCTTTCCAGCCGTGCCTCAGCTTCCCCTCCCTCTGCCTCTCGTGACCTTGCTTGTATAGCGCATGACACTGCTACTGATGCTTCTTTCCCTGCCTCTCTAACTTTTGAGCTTGCTTGGGGCGATGCCCTACCCCTTGTGGGCCAGCGGGGCAAGCTCCACACGCACACCGACCCGTACTCTGCCGCACTCGCCACTAGCCTCCACCCATCCTCGTTACAAGCACACCGGCCGCCCTCGTTACAAGCACACCCAGTAGTAGCACGAGAACCTGAATTCGGTCCCTCTGGGGCGTCCCCGAGGCTTTGGGAGAGAGTGAGGCAGGTGAGGGGGAGGGGGATGGGGAGGGGGTGGTGGAGGGAGGCGAGGAGGGAGTGGGAGGGGAGGTGCCACACCTGCAGGTGGCCGTGAGAGGTGCCCAGGAGGAGAAGCGTGTCGTCCACTTTTATCACTGAGACCGTGACAGCTGCTGCTGATTCTGATGCTGCTGCTGCTGCTGGTGGTGGTGCTGCTGCTGCTCTTGCCGCTGGTGCTGCCACTGATGTTGCCGCAGCTTCTGGCATGACATTTGCTGCTGCTGAAGCTCTCCGGTTTTCGGCCTTCCTCCCTGCCTTCCCATTCCCCCCCCATCCCCACACCTCGCCTCTCCCTCCATGAATCCCCCTAATGTCACACTTCCCCACTCTCCAATTCCTCCCCGCCTCCACTCTCTCTCTATACCTCCTCTTCCACACACCACTCTCCCTCACTCCCCTTCCCCACCCCCCTCCAACTCCGCCCTCCCCTCCTCGCCCCCCTTCCCCTTCCACCTCTCCCTCCCCCCGCGGTTGTTCCGCCCTGCTCCAGTAGGCAGCCCTTTCCCCAAACGACCGCTCAAACACCTTCCGCCAGAACGCCTCTCCCCCTGCGCCCCCTCCATCCCGCTCCTCCGCCACCACCGCATCCCGCCAGTCTCTGCGAAAGGCGGAATTGGCGGAACGGGGGGAAGACAGAGAAGAGGCGCAAGCGGGAGTCAGGGACAAGTGGGCGATTTGCGCAAGGGGGCCTAGGAGAGGGAGCAAGTGGGGGGAAGGCAGGGACGATAGGGGGAAGCGGAGGGTAGAGGGGAAAAACTGCGCCTACGGGGAACATGTGGGGGAAAATCGGCCCGGGGAAACGCACCTGCACGTGAGCATGGCGCAGATTATTCCGCCAGGCCCTTCAGCTGGAAGGCGTTGGAATATGTCCAGAAGAATGGTTCGCGGAAGTTTCGTAGCCTGATAAGACGAGGCGGGGTCACGCATCGCCTCGTCTGGAGGGCCTTCAGCGTCCGCCATTTCCGCGCGGCGCGCGGGTCAAATTTGCTATCAAGAAAACAATTCAGGTGTGTTGGGTCTGAATCTGGGTGAACAATTTGGAAAATTATTGAATTTTCATTTTCTACCAGACGTACACCGCAAAACGATACTGTATCGTACGTGAAAGGATCCCTACTCAATGCAGTTTCAGCCAGCGGATCTAACAACTGAAGGCGCGAAAGTTACCGTCAGCGCAGGACTGGTCAGTGGATTTCGCGACATTGTCGCCATTCGTTACGGCCACCACAAGTTCCTTGTAGACTCGTTTCGCGAGCTACAAAATCTATCGTCCAGCTTTTGATTGCCTGGGCTGACGCAACGGACGTAACCAGGCGAGATCCGCCATTTCGTCCCTCCACAGCAAAAAACAATCTCGAGGTGCCTCAGGAGAGGAGAACACCAATGCTACCAGCTCCGTTGCCTGAAGCGTAGCAGGGATCCAGGTGCTCTCTCTCAATGGGTTGTGCTGTCCTACGGGTGAAAGCACCAGATCAGTATCAGCCTAGTTGCCACTGATGGCATGCTACGCTACGTGTGAGGAAACGAGCGGCTTATTTAGTACTTGAATTCGTCTAACCTGATTGGATAGTGCACTTCGCTGTGCATATAATTCGTCCCTGTCAATCAAATTCACCGATTTTTATGGTGCAATGGTGTGACATGGTGGTCGGCTAAGGATGGATCGGAGGGAGCTCATGACCGCCGGGAAGAAGCGGGTAATGAGACTTTCGGAATCACAATGCTTTAAAGCTCGTTATTACATCAATTCCCATTGCCTCCGTTTCGCCGTATCTAAATGCTTCCTGAAACCTTACGGAATGGAATTTTTGTTCGTGTATTCACATCGAGCCGTGCTTGCCATTGTTATTGTACGACCAGCTTGAGGAGTATCGGAAGAAGCAACAAGCGAAATCTGGAGGAAGCTCTAAAGGAGGACAGCAAGACAAGGTGCTCACGATGGTCTCCACATCCTTCTTTCCTATCTATTTCCGGACGATTTGAACAGTTTATCGCGTCTAAATTATTCTTCTTCTGGTTGATCGTGACATCCTCGTCCATGTTTTTGTCGACCTTGTTTGCCTTACCACAAATCTCGCTTTCCAAAAATTTCATTCAATTTTTGTACGTTCTTGCTGCTCGAAAAACGTCAGTCTCCCCTCTTGAAAAGCTAGCTTGAACGGCGTCCTCCTTGCTCCTCTCTACCGCCGTCTATCTCACAGGTCAAGATGCCATCAACGGCTCCCACGACTCCGCAGGGCTCGTCCAATCAGAGCGCGGCACGGCAATCCCAAGGCCCGGCTTCAAGCAGCACAAGCGACCTCCCCCAGCTGGGCCTGAGCGTGCAGATCCAACCCCGAGGATCCACCACCGCCCAATCAAGAAAACCCATGCCAATCCAATCCCGGGATTCGCTCCAAAGCCAGCCTAGAGAATCCACAGGCGAGTCTGCAACCTCCATGGTGTCGGCAGCATCCGCAGTGACGGCAGAGTCGGCAGATTCAGCAGGAACGGCCGTGGGGAGGACGATCAGCAGCAGCAGCGGCGGCGGGGACGGCGATTTCATGACGCCCACAGGCGGCAACACGCCGTCCAGCGCCACCAGCTACGGCTCCGACTCCTCCTCGGGGGGCTTTGTGCTGCGTCCGTTCGCTGCTGGGCCTCGGGAGTTCCGCACCATCGCCCAGGGCATCCTGAATAAGGTGAGAAGTTTGTTGTGGGGATGGGTTGGGCTTAAGTTTTTACCGGCAGGGGATGATAAGGTGATGCAGCCAGGTAAAGTCTAGGACGGCATTAGATAACCCAAGGATCGAGGATGGAGGGGGGATGGTGGTAGAAAAGAGAAGAGGAGGGAAGGGAGAAGTTGAGGGGGGGGAAAGACGGGGGTTGCGCTTTGGAAGACGGAAGGGCCAGCCAGGCAGCCGCTTTTGAAAGACCTGCCTGACAACTGACACGCCTCTGCCACCCACCCTGCCAATGCTTCACTCCAACTCGCATGGCAGGGCTTGGGCGTTGAAGGGCAGGGAGCACGAGGGGAGGAAGCGCAAAGAGAGCAGAGAGCAGAGGGAGAGGGAGCAGGCAGGCAGGGCGCTTCAGGGCCAGGAGCGCAAGGGCAGGGAGGAGCAGAGGGGATGCGGAGACCATCCACTGCACAGCCGCATGAGACGCACGAGACTCTCAAGAGAGAGCAGGATGCATCTTCCCCCAGCCACTCCACTCGGCCAACAACCGCCCCTCTTTCCCGAAGCCCCTCCACCTCCTCGCTCACCTCCTCCGTCCCTTGGTCGTCCAGCGGGGCTCTGGACGGCGCGTTTGCTGCTGGAGTGAGACGGTTTTCCCTGGAGACGGGGAGTGATGATGGGTCGCTGACAGAGCGAGGGTCGGTGGTAACCACCACGCGGGAGAAGTATGTGGAGCGGCTGGAGCTGAAGGTGGTTGAGCTGAAGCGACGGCTGTCCGTTGTGATGGAGGAGAGGGAGAGAGGCGGCCCTAGTTTTGCTGGTGCTGGCTCGGGCGCTGCTGGTTTAGGTGGTGGTGGTGCTGCTGGGTTGAGTGGGATGTGGAGGAGTACCAGTGGAGGGGAGGTTCTGTTGAGGGAAGAACTCAGGAAGAAGGCCAGTAGAGTGCATGCTCTGGAAAAGGAGCTGGCGATGCTCAAGAGCCTAGTTGGGCTGGATCCGGGGGAGGCTGTATCTAAGGCTGCGGCGTATGGTGCTGCTGGTGGCGCGGGTGGGGATATGGGTAGAAAATCTAGAAGCGCTGATGCCAGATTTGTTGATTTGATAGAGCGGCACGGAGCAGAGGTTGCTGAACTAAAAGAGTTACTTAAAGAAAAGGAGGAGCGGCTGGTGTTTCTGGAAAGGGATAGGGAGGAGGTGATGGAGCGAGTAGCCGCACAGGTGCAGGCAGAGAAACGTGCGGAGACAGAACGGCTGGCGAAAATGCAGGCGGAAATGGAAGTAGCTGCGGAGCAGCTGAAACGGCAGGTGGCATCTGCCATGGCTCGATGGAAAGGGTTAGAGGAGGAGAAGGGGCGGTTGGCGGACCAGTTGCTTGAAAAGGAGGTGGTTATAGAGGGGGAGAGGGAGCGGAATGTGAGGGTTGCGGAGGAGTTGGCAGTGGTTCGGGGGCAGTATGAGACGATGATGGAGACAGTAGCAGCTCTGCAGGAGGAGAGGGGGAAGCAAGCCAGGGAGACGCAGGGTTTGAGAGAAGAAACACAGAGACTAAGGGAGGAGTGTGAGAAATTTAGGGAGGAGAGTGAGAGGATGAGGGAGGAGAGGGTTGGGCTTGAGAAGGAGCTGGAGAGGTTAAGGGAGCAGGTGCAAAGGCGGCGGAAGAGTGACATTGCAGCGGCCCTGGAAACTGGGTGCAGGGCTGAGGGTTCTGAGGGTGTTGAGAGAAGGGTGAGTGTGGGAGGGGCGTCAGGGGAAGGTTGGGTTTGTACGAAGTACGCTAGTTAAGAACAGGTTGATTGGCTGCCTCTTGGTGACTCGAGTCAATTCCGTGCCCTCCTCCCTGGCTGTGTTGCCCTCCTCCCTGGCTGTGTTGCCCTCCTCCCTGGCTGTGTTGCCCTCCTCCCTGGCTGTGTTGCCCTCCTCCCTGGCTGTGTTGCCCTCCTCCCTGGCTGTGTTGCCCTCCTCCCTGGCTGTGTTGCCCTCCTCCCTGGCTGTGTTGCCCTCCTCCCTGGCTGTGTTGCCCTCCTCCCTGGCTGTGTTGCCCTCCTCCCTGGCTGTGTTGCCCTCCTCCCTGGCTGTGTTGCCCTCCTCCCTGGCTGTGTTGCCCTCCTCCCTGGCTGTGTTGCCCTCCTCCCTGGCTGTGTTGCCCCTCGCCCCCCTTGCCTTACCATGTCACGGTCACCAAGTGATGTGATGTTTTTTTTTTTTTTTTGAGATTAGCGAAAGGAATTTCAGTCTAAGCTGTTTCATCTCGTTTGCTCCCACTGTCTGCGTCCTTTCCTCCGTTCCCTGTACTCTACCCTGAGCAGCGGGAGCTACTAGAGGAGGAGCTGGTGCAGCTGCAGGAGCTACTAGCCCGGCCCAGAGAGAAGGAAGAGAGTCAACTGACCAAGGTGCAAATAAAAAAAACAGCTTCCCCTTCCTGCTTACACTTTTGTTTCCTTGCTCCGTACCCAACAGGTGAACCTAAGTGGGGAGCAGCGGGAGCTGCTAGAGGAGGAGCTGGTGCAGCTGCAGGAGCTGCTCGCCCAGCCCTGAGACGAGGAGGGACAGAGGACCAAGGTGCAAGGAGAACAAACAGCATTCCCCTTCCTGCGTACCCTTCCTTTTTGTTGCTCTCTACTCAACAGGTGAACCTAAGTGGGGAGCAGCGGGAGCTGCTGGAGGAGGAGCTCGTGCAGCTGCAGGAGCTGCTAGCTCGGTCGCGAGACGAGGAGGAGAGGCTCCGAGCCAAGCTGCAGGGCGACGAGCAGCAGTGGCAGCAGCAGCTGCGGGAATCCGCAGCCGCTTTAGCAGCCAAGGAGGAGGAATCCAGGGTTCTGCTAGCTCGGGTGGAGGAGGGGGAGAGGGAGAGAGAGAGGCTCCGGGCAGAGGCGGATGCGGCGAGGCTTGAGGCTGCGAGTGCAGGTGAGAAGCTAGCTGCGACCAAGGATAAGCTGGGAGTGGCGATTAGGAAGGGGAAGGAGGTGGTGCAGCAGCGGGAGGCGCTGAAAGGGACTCTGGCGGAGGAGACTGCTGTGCTGGAACAGTTAAGGGAGGAGCTGGAGCGAGAGAGAGAGGGGAGGAGGGACGCGTTGAAGGCTGTGGAGGTGAAGGAAGGGGAAGTGGCGGAGGGGAGACGGAGGGTGGGTGAACTGGAGGGTGAATTGGAGGAAGGGAGGAAGAGGGTGGAGGAGTTGGAGGCAGCAGTTGCTGCAGCTGAGGGGAAGGCGGCAGGGATGGCGGAGGAAGGCGGGGAGAGGGTTAGGGAGATGGAGGAGAGGGTGAGGGAGGCGGAAGAGAGGGTGCGGGTGGCGGAAGAGGAGGTAGCTGAGGTGAAAAGGCAAGTGGCGGAAGGGAGGGAGCGTGCTGTGGAGCTTCTAGGGCAGGTGGCGGAGAGAGATGCGCTCCTGGCGAGGAGAGGAGAGGAGTTGAGGGAGGTGGAGGGGCGCGAGAGGGAACTGGAGAGAAGGGTTGCGGAGGAGATGGAGAGGAGGATTGAGGAGGGGAGGGAGGAGGGGAGGAGGGAAGTGGAGAGGGAGGTGGGGGTGTGGGAGGGTAGGGTAGAGGAGGAGAGGAGTAAGGCGGAAGATGCTCTGAAAAAGGCGGAGTGTTTGTCTAAGGAGGTGGATCAGTTACAGGAGAGGGTTGCAGAGACAGAGGGGCAGTTGGTTGCTTTGCAGACAGAACTTGCTGCAGCGAAGGGGGTGGTAGAGGAGAAGGAGGGATCGGTGTCAGGGTTAGAGGTGAGCCTGAGTGGGGAGAGGGAGAGAGTGAGACAGCTGGAGGAAATGGTGGGGACGCTGAGAGGGGAGGTTCAGGAGGCGCAGAAGGCAGGTGGTTCAGAAGCAGACGCGAGAGAAAGGGCGAGAGAGAGGGAGAGTGTGCTGACTCGAGAGTTGGAGTCGTTGCAAGCACAGAAAGAGGCGCTGGTGGGTGCTGTGGAGGATGAGAGGGCGATGAGGGAAGAGGCGGAAGAGGCTAAGAGGAGGGTGGAAGGAGAGAAGGGAGAGGTGGTGGAGAAGCAGGGGGAGCTGGAAGCAAGAGTGGAAGATTTACAGGGGAAGCTGGATGAGATGAATTTACAGGCTAAGGGCTGGGAGGAGCAAGTGGAGGGGCTTAAAGCTGAAGTCGTGGGTTGGCAGGCGAGGTTTGCTGGTCGGGAGCAGGAGTTTGCAAATTTGACTGCCGAAGCTGAGGCACGGTTGGAAGAGGTTCGGCAGGAGCTGGAGGGGATGCGAGGGAGGGAGAAGGAGTGGGAAGGGAGGGTTGGGGAGGTGGAGGAGAGAGTGAGGGAGGGTGAGAGAGCGTTGCAGGAGAGTGAGAGGCTGTTGCAGGAGGTGAGGGAGAAGGGGGAGGGGCTTCAGAAGGAGCTCAGTGAGATGGAAGAGAGAGCAAAGGAGGCTGAGGAACGGAAAAAGGAGGCTGAAGCAAGAGTTGAGGAGGCTGAGAGAAGGAGGAAAGAGGAAGAAGCTAGATCGAGTGAGCTGTTGCTGCAAGTGGAGGAAGCCAGGAGGAGAGAGAGTGAGGTGAGCGAGGGGAGGGGTGGTGAGAGTGAGGTTGAGGCATGGAGGGCTGAGTGGAAGGCTGAAGAGGCGTTGCTGCTGCAGAAGCAGGCTGAGATAGAGGGGCTTTTGGTTGCTAAGGGGCGAGAATTTCTGGAGCTGAAGGGAGAGTGGGAGAGGGAGAGGGATGCTTGGGCAACCGAGAGAGGTGAGTGGGAGAGAAAGGCGAAGGGATGGGCGATGGAGAAAGAAGATTTGCTTGGGAGGCTGCAGGGGGAAAGAGAAAAGTGGGAGGAGGAGCAGGGTAGGGTGGAGGAGAGTGAGGGGCAGTTACAGGAACAGGTGGAGGCGGAGAGGAGGAAAGTGGCCGGGTTGAGAGAGGAGAGAGAGCAGCTTCGGAAGAGGTTGGAGGGATTGGAGGAGGAAGTGGAGCAGGTGCAGGAAGAGGTGGCAGCGGAGAGGCGGAAGGTGGAGGAGTTGAGAGGGAGTTTGGAGGAGGAGGAGAGGCGGTGTGGGGAGATGGTGAGTGAGTTGCAGGCTGTGGCGGAGGGGAGGGAGGAGGAGAGGAAGCAAGTGGCGGGGCTGACAGAGGAGAAGGAGCAGCTGCAAAGGAGGGTGGAGGGTTTAGAGGAGGAAGTGAAGCAGGTGCAGGGCAAGATGGATGAGGTGGAGGAGGAGAAGGGGCAGCTACAGAGTAAGGTGCAGGGGCTGGAGGGGGAGGTGGAGCAGCTGCAGCAGAAGGTGCAGGCAGCAGAGCGGAAGGACGTGGTCACTCTCGTGAGTCCTCTGCATGCTGGATGCTCTTAGCCTTTTGTGTGGCAGTTTCCTTATTTTGCTGCTCATCTGCTCATCCACTGTAGAACCATCTCTACTGTTCCTCTGTTCTGTGTAACCCCGTTGCATTTTCTCACCTTTCGGTTGTTTCGGCACTCCATGTCCCCATTCGTTCAAAGCTGTTGACGATTGTCCCTTGCACTCTTTCGTCTCCCTTCCCCCCAGGCAAAGGTAGTTGCCAGCGAGACAGCCGCAGAGGAAGCAACCAGGCAGCTTCAATCAGCCCAAGCCGCCCTCGAGGCAAAGCAAGTTGAACTGGCCGCCCTGCAACAGCAAGCAGAGGAGCTGGAAGAAACCCTAGAGCAGCGCGAGACAGAGCTTGAATCCCTAAAATCAGACATCTCGGCGCGAGAGATGATCTGGCGTGCGTCGCAAGATGCAGAGGCGAAGGCAGCAGAGGATGCTATTGCGGTGGAGGCAGCTGCTGCAAGGGAGATGGCGGAGAGAGAGAGGGATAAGGTGAAGGAGGAAGCTGAGGCGGAAGCAGCGGCTTTGAGGAAGGTTCTGGGAATGCGGGAGTCGCAGCTGGAGAAGCTGCAGGCTCGGGTGGCCGAGGCTGAGGAGGTGGTTCGGGAGCTGGAGGAGGCTCGGGTGGAGCTCGAGAAAGCTCAGGGGGAGGTGGTTAGGGTTAGGGAGGAGATGGGGGGAGAGATGGAGAGAGTGAGGGAGAACAGTGTGAGAACAGAGGAGGAGGTGGAGAAGCTTAGGGCTGCTTTGGAGGGGTATAGAGAGGAGGTGGAGGAGGGAGAGAAAAAGGTGAGTGAGTGTGAGAAGAGGCTAGAAGAGAGTGAGAAAGAGAGGAGGGCCGCTCTGGAGAAAATGGATTCGTTGCTTGGAGAGCTGATGGAGAAGAGTGAGGAGAATGAGAGGGTGAGAGAGGAGGGCGCTAGGCTGAAAGAGGAGGCCTGCCGGTTGAGGGAGGAGGCTAGTAGGCTGGAAGAGGAGCTGAAAGGGCGTGACGAGGAGATTAGTAGGCTGAAACATGAGGTTTTAAAGGTAAGTGCAAGTGCAGGAGCTGATGGGGAGAGGGAGCGGATGGAGGAGGAGGTAGTGCGACTTACTAGGGACGTAGAGCAGAAGGGAGCATTGCTGAAGGTCGCTGAAGACGCAAGGGCAGCAGCTGAGGCGAAGAACGCGAGCCTGGTGAAGAAGGCGAAGGAGAGGATCGAAGGCATGAAGCAGAAGGCTGCAGTTGAGGCCCAGGCTGCTGCAGACGCGAGAGCCGAGGTTGATCGACTGAAGCGGCTTCTGGAGGGGGGAGAGGGCAGAGGGCGAGGAGGGGGGGAAGAGGGAGGAGAGGGTGGGGCAGGGGAGAAAAGAGCAGAGGCGAAGGCAACGAATGTTGAGGACGTGGCCGAGATAGAGGGGCTTCGTGCCAAGGTCTCTCTCCTTGAAACGGAGCTGTCTCAGTTGAAGCAAGGGGAGCGGAGCGGGGCAGGAGCAGGGGGAGAAGGAGCAGCAGGGGCGGCAGCAGGGGCAGCAGCAGAGGCAGCAGCAGAGGCAGCAGCAGAGGGGGAGCGGGTGAGGGAGTCACTGAAGCAGGCACAGGAGCAGGTGGCGGGGGTGAGGGAGAAGCTAAGCAAGGCTGTGCGCAAGGGCAAGGCAATCGAGCAGCAGAAGCTGAAGCTCGAAGCAGACCTCGCTGCTGCCAGGGCTGAGATTGACGCTCTCAGGGCGAGCACTGGGGCAGGCGCAGGGACAGGGGTAGGAACAGGGCTAGGGGCAGCTGTAGCAGCAGCGGCAGGGGCAGGCGGAGGTGTAGCAGCAGGGGAGCAGGTAGACGAGCTGAGAGGATTGTTGGCTGAGGCAGAAGAGGCGAGGAGGAAAGAGGTAGAGGCGAGGCAGAGAGAGGAGGAGGCGAAGAGGAAAGAGGAGGAGGCGAGGAGGAAGGCTGAGGAGAGGCTGAAAGAGACAGTGGCTATGATGGAAGGAGGGACAGATGCTCTTGCGGGGCGAGAGAAGGAGTGTGAGGAGCTAAGTAACGAACTTACTGAGCTAAGAAAGTCTCTTAGCAGCGCTCAGGAGGAGGTTGCTAGGCTGATGGGGGAAGTGGATAGGTTGGAGGAGGAGGGTGGGAGGGAGAGGGCGGATGCAGAGGAGAGATTGGAGAAGGTGAAGAGGGAGAGTGAAGAGATGGAGGGGTTTAAGAATGGGAAAATAGCGGAGGTGGAAGAGATGTTGGCTATAGTTGAAACGGATCTTGCTGTAGCGAGGCGGAGAGTTGAGGAGCTGGAGAGGGAGAAAGCGGAGGTGGAGAAGGGGAGGGAGGAGAGGGAGAGGCGAGTGAGGGAGTTGGAAGAGGAAGTGGGGAAGTCGGGAGAGGAGGGGAGGGGATTGGGGTTGGAGCTAGAGAGAGTGAGGGAGGAACTGAACGAGTGGAGGGGGGTGGCTGAGGAGAGGGGCAGGGATGTGGAGGGAATGAGGAGGGAAGTGGAGGAGGCGAGAGAGGAGAGGGAGGAGAGAGGGAAGGCGTTGGTGGGACTTGAGGAGAGAGTGAGGGAGTTGCAGGGGGAGCTGGAGGAGGAGAGGAGGAGGCGGGAGGAAGAAGAGGTGAAGAGAGTGGAAGAGGAGAGGAGGAGGGAGCAGGAGGAGAAAGCGAGGACGAGTGAAGGGGAGGGGGAGAAAGAGGTTGGAGACGCACGGGCACAGTTGATGGAGAAAGAGGAGTGGTTGAGAGCGGTAGAGGGGCAGTTGAAGGAGGTTCAGTCCCAGCTTGCAACGGTTGAAGAGCGGTTGGTGGCGATACAGGGAGAGAAGGAAGTAGCAGAGGAGAGAATACGAGAGCTGGAGACTGAGAGAAGCGCGAGGGAAGAGAGAGTTTGTGCACTAGAGGATGAGAAGGCAGGTTTGGCTAGGGAGTTGGAGCAGGAGAGGGAGAGGAGAGAGGAAGCGGATAGGAATCTAGTGGGAGTGCAGGGTGGGTTGGATGAGGACAGGGAGGCGAGGAGAGTGGCAGAAGCTGAGCTGGATAGTGTACGTTCTGAGCTGGCAAGTGCTCGTGATGAGCTGGCACGTGTCCGTGCTGAGCTGGCAACGGCTGGTCGTGATGAGGAGAGGAAGGATGAAGGTGAAGCAGGAAGCAGTGGGGAGGATGCTGATGCAGTGGCTGTGAGAGAGAGAGTGAGGGAGCTGGAGGAGAGAGTGAGGGAGGAGGAGAAGAGAGTGAAGGAGGAGGGGGAGAGAGTGAGATTGCAGGAGGAAAGACTGAGGGAGAAAGAGGAGAGAGTGAGGGAGGAGGTGGAGAGAGTGAGGGAGGAGGGAGAGAGAGCCAAGGAGCTGGAAGTGAAAGTGGCAAAATTGGAGGGTGAATTAGCAGAGCTGCAGTTGCAATTAGAAAAGGAAAGGGAGGAATGGAATGTCACAAAGGAACAGCTTGGAGCAGATAACGAACGAGCTTGTAACGAGGCTAAAGAGCAAAGGGACCAAGCATCCCAACTGAGGACTTCCCTCTTGGAGCTTGAAGCACAGAGGGATGCGTGGGCAGTTGAAAGAGATGCTCTTGTAGCAGCAGAGCGGCAGGTGCAGGATGAGAAGCGGGGTTTGGAGGAGCTGGTTGCGGTGCTGAGAGGTCGGATTCAGGAGGTGGAGGCAGAGAGGGATGGGTTGCAGGCAGCTGTTGGTCGGCTGGAGGGAGAGAAGGGGGACTTGCAGGAAGCAGTGGAGTGTTTGGAAGGGGAAAAAGGGCGATTAGTAGGGGAGAGGACTGGTTTAATGGCGGAAGTTTCTCGTTTGGAAGCAGAGAAGGAGGGTGCTCAGATGGAGGAAGAGCGGTTGCGAGGTGAATTGGAAGAAGAGAGGAGGAGAGCGGAGAGTGCGAGGGAGGAGGGTGAGGAGAGGGGGAGGAGGGTAGGTGAGCTGGAAAGAGTGGTTGAGGTCTTGAGGGGCGAGATGGAAGAGATGAGAAGGGAGAGGGGGGAGAGGGGGGAGAGGGAGGAGAGGGGGGAGAGGGGGGAGAGGGGGGAGAGGGGGGAGAGGGGGGAGAGGGGGGAGAGGGGGGAGAGGGGGGAGAGGGGGGAGTGGGGGGAGAGGGGGGAGAGGGGGGAGAGGGGGGAGAGGGGGGAGAGGGGGGAGAGGGAGGAGAGGGAGGAGAGGGAGGAGGTGAGTAGGGATGAAGTGGCTAAGGGTGAGAAGGAGTGGAGAGTAAATGAATTGGAGCGAGCCTTGCAAGAGAAGGAAGGAGAGGTGGAGAGACTGGTGAAGGAGGTGCGAGAAAAGGAGTTGATAATTGAGGAGTTGAGAGTGCAGGTTGGGGAGAGGGATGGGGACCTTGAGAGGCTGAGGCAGGAGGTGGGGGAGAGGGAATCGATGATGGGGGAGTTGAGAGAGCAAGTTGGGGAGAAGGAACGGGAGATTGAGAAGTTGAAGAGCGAGGTTGGGGAGAGGGATGGGGAGGTAGAGAGGCTGAGGCGGGAGGTGGGGGAGAGGGAAGGGGAGGTAGAGAGGCTGAGGCGGGAGGTGGGGGAGAAGGAGGCAGCAGTGGCGTCGGTGGCGGCGGCACGCAGCAAGGCAGTGGAGAAGCTGAAGATGATGGTTGATAAGCTCAAGGAGGTGCAAGCACAGGTGGGTTATACGCAATTGGGTTGCTCCAACTTGATGGTCTTCATTTATTTTTGGGCACGTTGTAGAGAGGGATAGGAAATACAGGTTCTGTTGACCCACGGGAGCCAATGGTGCAGGTTTTTCTTTCCAGCTTATAAGTAATGTGGTTACTACTGAAACCTAAGAAGGGCAATGAGAATAATTACCCATTTCATTGCCTGTGGCCTTATCCCTGAATTTCTGTCCCTCCCTACCCTCCCTGCCCGTATCCCTTCTTTATCCATTCCTTCTCACCCCATCCCTTTCCCGTAAGCACAGTCAGAGGCAGTGGTGCAGGAAGCAGAGATGAGACTGGAGGAGAAGGACCGGGAGATTGAAGAGAGGCTGAATGTCCGTCTTATAGCCTTTCCCTCTTTGTCTGTCCTGTCGCTGTTCTTCTGTTCATCCTCACCCCATCCCTGTCCCATGAGCACAGTCGGAGGCAGTGGTGCAGGAGGCAGAGATGAGACTGGAGGAGAAGGACCGGGAGATGGAGGAGCGGCTGAGAGAGAAGGATACGGAGCTGCAGGGGGTGTGGGACCGTCTAAGATTGGCTGAGGCTCGGTTGGGAGGGATGGCCGGTGGCAGTGCTCCTGCTCCTGCTCCTGCTCCTGCCCCTACTGCTGCCCTGACCGCTGCTGTTTCTGGTTTCTCTGGCGATCTGATAGTTGATGGTGGTGCTGCTGCTACTGGTGCTGTTGCTGGTGCTGGTAATGGCGTTAGCAGTGATGTTACGAAAGGTGGTGAGGGGGAAAGCATGGCTGGTGGTGCAGCAGCTGGCACTTTGGCGCCACAACAGCAGAAGTCTGAGGCAGGCGGTGCTGCTCTTCCTGACGTGGCAGAGAAGGATGCTGAGCTGGCAAGGCTGCGCGATGAGGTGGCAGCAGCGGGCGAGGCGGTGAAGGTGCTTGAGGGGCAACTGGAGGCAGCAAGAAGGGAGGCAGATGACCTGGTGAGAGCACATGAATGCTGCTTCTTGTGTTACTTGTCTTTCGTTGTACCCCCTTCTCCATTCCTTATGAGAGGCACAAGGCAGGCACCTCACCACTACCCTCCTCCTCCTCCTCCTCCTCCTCCTCCTCCTCCTCCTCCTCCTCCTCCTCCTCCTCCTCCTCCTCCTCCTCCTCCTCCTACTACTACCTTCTCGTACCAGTCTCCACAAGTGAATTCAACTTTTACTTGTAACTTGTTTTTCCGCTGTGTTTCCATGCAACCCCGTCTCCTGTCCCTCATCAGAAGCGCAAGGCAGTCCAGTCACCTCTGCCCTCTTCCTCCTCTTCCTCACAATTAGCCTCAGCATCAGCCTCCACTCTCCTGCCAGTCACCACGCAGAGGAAGGCAGCACCCGGGGGAAGTGCATCCGACACGTCAGCAGAGTACCTGCCACTGCTGGCGCAGCAGCTCGCAACGTCATCATCCGCCTCGCTGGCGGGCCACACGGCGCTGCAGATCTCTGACTCGTACCCCGATGATGAAGGTGGGAAAGTGGGAAACAACAGTTGGCACGACAAGAGGCATGTGCTTGGGGGTTTGCAACGAAGGCTCATCTGTCCCTATAATCTCTTCACTATGCCTGCAATGCCTGCAGTACCTGCAATGGCTGACTCATTGACTAACCCATCGTCTCTGGTGAACCTGCCTCTCTGCCTCTCTTCCATTCACTTCGAAATGTTTCCCACTCCTCCCCGCTCACCCCCACCACAGTGCACGGGTTCAAGTCAATAGTCAGTGCCTTCCGTTTCCTGCCGTCCTTCCTGCACCCAGCCGCCAAGGGCATCGACCGCCTATGGTACGTGCCTGCTGCTCCTTCCAGCCTTCAATGCTGCATCTGCTCCTGCCTCCTGTTGCGTCTCCCACTCGTCACTCAACTGGCTTCTTTCTTTCATTCCATTGGGAGACAGTTGAGATCTCCCACTCCATTGGTCTTCATCTCTCCCCCCACTCTTTCCATATCCCAGTGTGGTGGGAGGGCAGTCGCTGATGGCTCGCCCCATGATGCGCCGCTGCTCGTGCTCTACTGGATGGCCATGCATGCTGCGTTGCATTCACGTCCCCGAGATTCCTGCCGTCTTCCCTTCTGCTGCCCTCCTGTTGCCACCCCAACTCTTTCGCTTCACTTTCTACCTTTCTTCTTATCTCTTTTTCTTCCTCCCCATTCGTCTTGCTCTCCTTCCTCCCCACCCACCCCCCCTCTTGCACCAGTGTGGCGGGAGGGCAGTCACTCATGGCACGACCCATGATGAGGCTGCTGCTCGTGCTCTACTGGATGGCCATGCATGCTGCCATGCTTGCTATGCTTGCCGCCCTCACTGTTGCCTGATGCTGAACATGCGGCATGCATCATACATCATGCATCATGCACTGAGTGTCATACATCGTGCACTGAGCGTCATGCATTGCGCATCATACATCATGTGTCATGATTTGCACATTATGCATTGGTATGCATCCGCATAATGCATCATATGCACAGTACAAGGCATTGATAAGATGCTTACAAACAGCATTTTACCATTCTTGTCTGGATCAGGAGTTTGTCTTGTGTTGTTTCTTCCTGCAGTCCCACAGTTAGGACTTAGCATAGCAATGTTACCGAAAACCTAGTACAGTAGATATAACCATTTGTGTGGCAACTTCAAATTTCATTATTTTCTTGTCTCAAAAAGCATTACAGCAGATATAATCATTGTAGGTGTACAATCTTTGCTCATCAACTCTTTGTCAGAGCCCTTGGGTCATGAAATGTCAGGACCTAGACAAATCATCAACAAGCCATCATGCCTCTTGCTGAAATGAACTCCCCCTAAACACGACATGCCCTATCCAATCCTATCCAGCATTGACATATGAATCAGCAAACCAAGTGCAGGGCGGGCTGGAAATTCATGGGGGGGTGAGGGAGGAGGAAGGCGGGGTGAGTGAGGAGGAAGGAGGAGTGAGTGAGGAGGAAGGTGGTGTGAGGGAGGAGGAAGGCGGAGTGAGGGATGAGGCCACAGCATCCTCCACGTGAATGCCACACTCTGTCTTGTCCGACCCGTCTCTGTTCTTCAGCCCCTGGAACCGCCCCGACCGCTCTCCACCGTACTCGAACCACTTGGCACGCGGAACGGGCAGGGTGGTCTGGATGTCACCAATGGAGGGGAAGCCATCCGCGTGAAGAGGGTGGGCTGGCACCCCATGCCTCTCCAGGTAATCAAAGCAGTCCCTGGTGGGGGAGAGGGGTGGGGGACGAAAGAGTGGTTTAGTAGGGTGGTCTGGTCTGTATGTCTCCAATGGAGCGGAAGCCGTCGGCGTGAAGAGGGTGGGCTGGCACCCCATGCCTCTCCAGGTAGTCGAAGCAGTCCCTGGTGGTGTGCGGGGCAAGGCAGGGGCCATAGAGGAGTGGGGTTGAGGTTTTGGAAGGAGGATTGGAGGACTGGCAGAATGGCGTGCATGTCAATGGTGGGTGGGGATGTCGGCATGCAAGGAGGGGGATGGCATTCCTGTAGCATTAGCAACCCATCACGGCCAGCCCATACCATCACATCACAGCATCAAGCACCCCTCACAGCAGGCATACCATCAGGAACCGAGGGACCATGACCCCACAGCATCACATTACAGCATCAGCAACTCCCATAGTAGCTAGCATACCTGAATTCCCAGTATGCGAGGGGCTGCACCTTCACTGGTGTGCCGTCTTCAAATAGCTGAGTGGTGGGATGCATGGCGGCGGGATGGGTGGCAGTGGAGGAAGAGGAGTGGGGGAGCACAGGAAGGATGACTTTCGAGACGTCTCAAAATTCCCAGTATGCGAGGGGCGGCACCTTCACTGGTGTGCCGTCTTCAAGTAGCTGAGTGGTGGGATGATGTACGGTGAGATGTGGCAGTGAAGGAAGGGGGAGATGCAAAGGAAGGGTGAAATGGCATGAAAATCATGGGACTTCGTCACATGGATCATGGCATTCCATGTGACATGGGATGATGCATATGGTTTGCCATGGCACCATGTGACATGTGGGATGTCATGTCACACGGTATATGGTATGTGGCGTGTGGCATGTGACATCTGGTACATTGCATGTGGCAATACAGAAATCACTGCCAGGTGCGACCTCCAACATAAAGCAACCGTGGAAAGGGTGGAGGCAAGCTCACCTCCAAGTGCGCCCTCTCCGCGCCGCGGTCTCTGCGGCAGCCGTTGATCATGGCATCCACGTTGAGCGACGTCAGCGCTACAGCCAGGTGCGCCCTCTCACTCACCTTCAGATGTAACGAAAATCAGCAAGCTCACCTCCAGGTGCGCCCTCTCAGCGCCATGGTCTCTGCGGCGCCCATTGATCATGGCGTCCACGTTGAGCGACGTCAGCGCGCGGCTGAACGGCTCCACCTTGCAGATCTGGTCGTACTCGTCTATGTCCTGCCCGTGGCGGATGGTGGGGGGCGACCAGAGGGGGAATTGCCAGGGATAGACGAGGGGGGGAAGCGAGGGGGGGAGGGGCGAATAAGCGCAACTGAAGGGCTCCAGATTGTAAATTTGGTCGTACTCGTCTATGTCCTGCCAGTGGCGGAGGGGAATTGGGGGGGGGGGGGGGGGGGGGGTGAGAGAGAGGGATGGGGGGGCTAGTGTGCCTGACCATGATATGCATGGGGTGAGGGAGAGGAGAAATAAGGGTTGCGCAAGGGGTTGGAGGGGTTTGTTTCAGGGAAGACGATCACTTTTGAGCCTCAAAACTTCTTTTGAGAACTTTCGAGGCGCCTTTGAAGCTTACCCGAATGAAGAGGTCCGAGCCGTGCTTCTTGACGTAGTCCTCCTTGGAGTTGAGGCCCGCCGCCTGAAACACCTCCGCCTTGAACCCGAACCGCTCCTGCGCCGCGGTGAACAGAGATACACGGAACGGAAGGTCGGTCAGCAACGCATGCGGGTGGAAACGTTTCGTCTTTCGGAGTTCAAGCCCTTGGTCGAGAATTTCAGCTCGTCTCACAACTAATCACGGCCATTCAAAGTTAAGGCTCGTATGCCCGTATGTGAAAGTTGAAGATTCCTCAATGCCGCGTTTTTTCAGACACTCAATTTTAACATTGATTCATGTCACATTTGGTATCACGTACCTCGCAGTCCTTGAGGAACTGGTACGTCTCCGGGAAGAGGTGGAACGTGTCGATGAACACCACCTTCACCTTGGGATTGTCGCCCAGCGCGCCGAGCCGGTGCAGCAGGTGGAGAATAACCTGCCGGCGACGAGCGGGCGAATAAAACGAAGAGAATACTGATGAGACGAGAGACCACATCACGAGAAAAACTAGTACAAGTAGAGGATCAGTTGTTATTTTTATTTTTCCTAAAGTTCGCAAAAACCAACGTTATTCATGTCGATCACATGCCGATCAGCACAGACGTACTGAAAGAAAATCACAGTGTGTCGTAATGATATCTCCTCGGTGGTATTGTCTGAATGCTTACCACGTCGCCAGCGATAAGCGCGCACGGGAACGTGGGCCGCTCGAAGGAATCGATGGTCTTCTGAAGCGCATCCAGCGCTTGCCCCTCCAGCTGCTCTTGCCGGACCAACCGCGCCGCCTTGCTCCATTCCTCCACATCAGCACTGGTTACCGCCGAAGCTCGAGCCGAACCGGCAGCTGTCCTTCGGATGGACGTTGTCTGGCGAACGGGAAGCAATTTCCGACCGAATCTTACGGCGGTTGTGTCGTTTAGAGTCCTTGCCCCGAGAGGGATAAAGGAGCTGGCTTGACGGGAGCTACCAGATTCGCCGAGGCGCGCTCGGCTGGAAGACGGCCGTGCAAGAAGTACGGGAGACGCGTGCTTCGCAATGGCCGCCATTGCAAGCTGATGAGACTAACGAGGGAAGGGGGAGAGTAGAAAGGGGGAGAGTAGACAAGAAACTAAGAAATAATCCGGGCAAGGCAAGGAAAGGGAAGGCCGGGCGACGAGGATCCTCCTGCTCCCCCTTTCAGTAAGCAATGTCAATCTGGATGATGCGAGGTTGAAGAAATGGAGACGTTGGTAAGAATTCTCCAGAAACAAAGCAAGAAATAAGAGACTGGAGTGAATTAATTCTCAAGGTCAAATTCTCTCGTCGGTGGCAGGGGCGGGTGGGATGAGGCGCGCAGGAACCTTTGGGTTGTTCGGCTTGGCGGCCACAGCCAGGTCCTACGTGGCATGAGCTTTCCCACCGCTTTGGAAAGGGCATCTTTTGCGTTCCCGCACGCGTCGAAATGAAGGCGGTTATTGGTGGAGTACTCCAGCAAGGTCAGATATGCTGCAGGAAATCTGACAAAAGCTGATCTTTCAGGCGCTCGACCTTGAGATTTGTCGATGACGAGCCCAAACATTGGGGAAGCAATTCGGAAAATTCTGCCCACGTGGAAGAAAGTGACTCGACGGAAATGCAAGGTTCAAATCAGCCATTACACCACTATTGTTTCAATATAGACAAATGCGTTATTTGGTTGAGTTTTCTCACAGATTCTTGAAGCGAGCTCACCTATTTTCACTCGCGTCTATTTCATTCCTCTCCTCCCAAGCAACCTCACCGCCACCCTCGTTCTTGCAAATCCGCAAGCCATCACCCGAACAGCCCTGTTCCTCCCAAACACTCCTGATCCCCCCCGTACAAATTCATTTCTCGCCCTTCCCACCGCGTTTCTCGACTCGATGGAAAGGATGGAGTTACGTTCGACCTCAGACATGGACGTCGATAGAGACGCGTCGCAGACCAACGGACCTCACTCGTCCACCCACCATCACCACCACCACCACCATCACCACCAGGATCGCAGCAATCAACGCCAGGGCGACTCATCTGCACAAATTCGGCAACCAGACCTGCTCGCTCCACCCTCTTCCGTCATTCTTCAATCCCGAAACTCTTCCAACCCTCCTCCGAACCAGTCCTCGAATTCCCTCCTGCCGATGGCACAACTAACACAGGACCAGCAGCAGCGACTGGAGCTATTAGAATTAGAGGAGAAGCGCCTGCAGAACGCAGTCCGGCATCTTATACGCTCTAACGAGGAGCTCCAAGCCGCGGACGTTGCGGAACCGGATCCAGTGTACCGGGAAGCGCTTATGGAAAACCAGGTGGTTGTTCAGAGCCTTAGAGAGAAAATCGCGTTGCTTCAGGCGGAAATTGCGGAGTTGAAAGGCGGGATTTCCGGCATGGAGGAGAGACGTGGAGAAGTAGGGAGGGGGGAGTGTGAGGGAGTGGTTGGGGAGGTAGAGGGTGGTGCTGTTGCTAATCCTGCACCAGCAACGGCTGCTGCAGATGAAACAGAGTTAGGAAATGATGGTTGGCTGTGATGGTTTTTTAGTTTACAACGTGTTTTCTCCATTTGTTCACTACTGATTTAGGAGTATGGCACAGGCGCAAATTGCAGTCCAGCTGCTATAGAATTGAGTCCACCACAGTATATGAACAATAACACTTGCAATGCCCCAACCAATGGGCTCCAGGGGCATCATCAACTTAAACCAAAACATTGATAAAACAACTGACAGTGCTTTCAGCCCTTCATTATCCCCATCTCTATCTCCCCATCATGATTCTCCACAAATCCTCTCCCATTCCCCAAACCTCCCCCATGCCCGCCGACCCCACCCTCCCGACCCTCCCGAATCACAGGCAAGCCATGAGCAGGCGACCCAGAATTCCCCATCCGGGCAGGTGAAGAAGACGTAGGGCCCAGTCGGGCAGGCGAACCAGACAAGTTACCCCGGGCAGGGGAGCCAGACTGCCCATGTCGGGCAGGTGCGGCAGAGGAGGAAGAGGAGGAGTGGGAGGAGGAACGGAGGGTGGAGGGGATGAGGGTGCGCGTGTCGTCTTCGCTATCCTCACTGTCTAGCTGGGTCACATGCATGTCAGACGATGCTGGTGACGATCCGTTCCAGTCGTGCCGAATCATGTTGGCTAGCTCCTGGGGTGTTGCACTGCAAAAAGTGAGGGAGGTGCCAAAGGAAGGGGACGGGTGATAGCCATATTGGTATAGTATCATCATAAGGTTTTGCACCAAATCATACTGGCGAGGTTTTGCAGCCTTGAACTGTGCAAAGAGTGAGAGAGGGTTGTGCGGCGAGCAGCAGAGGAGCAGACACTTGTTTGCTCTTGCTTGCACCTGTCCACGGACACTGGAATGTGACAAGTGAAGAGCAGGAGGAGCGGGCGATCACGACAAGCAGATTCAGCGTTACGGCTCCTGCCACTCACTGCTCCTGCCGTATCATCCTCCCAGCACTCACAGCACCCCCACAAGCACTCACTGGTCCTGCCGTCTGGTGCGTTCGACGAACCACACCAAGGCAGCGATGGTGGCAAACCACCCCACCGTGGGCCTTATCGCTCCTCCTATCTCATCCCCCGCAGCACTCACAGCCCCCTCCCTCCCAAGCACTCACTGGTCCTGCCGTCTGGTGCGCTCCACGAACCAAACAAAGGCAGCGATGGTGGCGAACCACCCCACCATGGCCCACAGAAACCCCGCCTGGCACTCAGTGCATTACAGCCTGCCACTCGCCCCCGCACTCACTGGTCCTGTCTTCTCGTGCGCTCCACGAACCAAACAAAGGCAGCGATGGTGGCGAACCATCCCACCATGGCCCACAGAAACCCGTCCACCGTGTAGTCGTCCCCCCCCGTCTCCCCCAGCTCCATTATCCCCGTCAGCAGCGCCGCTGCTCCCACCAGGAGGGCTCCCCGGCCAAACAGACTACAGGTAAGACGGGGAGAGGGGATGGAAGGGAGAGAGGAGAGAGGGAGTTTGGATTACGCGACAAGGCAAATGAGTTAAGGAACCTGTCCACTGTGTGTGGTCGTCACCCCCTGTCCCCCCAGCCCCGTCATGCCTGTTGGCAGTGCTGCTCCACCCACCAGCAGCGCACCGCGGCCGAATAGACTGCTTGAAAAAACCAGGAAGAGAAAGAGGATCAAGGATGGGTGTGGGGGAGGGAAAGGTATCTCGAATACACAATCTTCACATGTGTACCGATTATCCGACGAAACGTACTCAGACGTGCACCCGCAGTCAGCGCTAACATGTATACTTACAAACAGTTGAAACGCACTCACATGTGCACCCACTGCCAGATGACCCGTTTCATCTGGGGCCTCTCCCCAGGCGACGGTTTAGGCGGGCGGAAGAATGCATTGATTGGCTGGAAGCAACCCAGGGCGAATGTTGCCATTCCAATCTTGGCATGATTGGATGAGAGGTCGATGCTGCGATGGGGGGAGAAGGGGAGGAAGGGGTGGGAAAAGGGATTGGTGAATGGAGGGGCAGTCGTGGAAAAAAGAGGGCAGAAATTGGGCAGAGGAGAGAAGGTTGTGCAATCGACAGGATGATGAAAGCAACGAGAAAAACGAGCTACGATGTAAGACACAAGTAGAGCAGCAGACAACAAAACGACAATGAAGTGAACGTTCTTGAGAGGCAAATGGACATTATAATCGGGCAATGTGGGTGGCAAAGTGGAGGAATGGAAGTGGCAAAAAAGAAAGCAAGGCAAGGGACACGAGAGGCGAGAGGGTGGGTGGGTAACACACCCGCCCAGTTCACCGACAGCGAAGAGCAGCCCGAGGAGCATGAGGGCGAGGGCTGAGTATTGCGTGTACTGGTGTATGCTGTTTAAGGGCGGGGGGGGGTTGGGAGGGGGGGAAGTGGGGTAGGTAGGTTCAGGAGTGGTCAAATGTGGGAAACGACAGAGTGAGGGACATTCAAGACAAGCGCCCGCTAGATAGTTCCTGCAAAGCCAAAGAGAAGACTGCAAGGAGCAACAACTCACGATTGCCAGTCGTATTGCTTCAAATATCTCGCCGCCAAGACCCCAAAAGGCATGAGAACAGCCCATGCCATGGTCATCATGAAGCCATGCACGCACCACAGCTGCAACTGCCTTGATGCACGACAAGAACCCACTCACGAGAGCCAGTCGTTGTGCTTGAGATATCTTGCGGCGAGCACCCCGAACGGCATAAGAACAGCCCACGCCATGGTCATCATGAAGCCATGCACCACAAACACCGGCTGCAGATGCTCCACCGTTCCCTCCCCGGTTTCCAAGTCAAGAATGGTCACCGTGGTGCTCCACACCGTGTGCATGTTCATGTAGGACAGCTTGCCTGAGAGAGGGGTGCAGATGGGGGATGCAGGGAGTAGAGTGAGGTACGGCAAGGGCCTCTATCGCCTCAGTGGTGCTCCACACCGTGTGCATGTTCATGTAGGACAGCTTGCCTGAGAGAGGGGTGAGGAAAGGGGCAAGAGGCATGGGACTGGGGCACAGGGACGGGGGGAGCAGGCAGGGGGGAGCAAGGGAGCTGAGTGTGGCGCTCCACCGTGCCTTGGCCCGTCCCCAGATGGAATGGTAACGGTATTGGTAATGGTAATGGTAATAGTAATGGTAATGGTAATGATAATGGTAGTGGTAATGGAAATGGTAATGGCAATAGTAATGGTAATGGTAATGATAATGGTAATGGTAATGGTAATGGTAATAGTAATGGTAATAGTAATGATAATGGTAATTGTAATGGTAATCATAATGGTAATGGTAATAATAATGGTAGTAGTAATGATAATGATAATGGTAATGGTAATGCTAATGATAATGGTAGTGATAATGGTAATGGTAATGGTAATAGTAATGATAATGGTATTGATAATGATAGTGGTAGAGATAATGGTAATGGTAATGGTACTGGTAATAATAATGGTAATGGTAGTGGTAATGGTAATGGTAAATGTGGTGGTAATGGTAATGGTAATAATAATAACAGTGGTAATGGTAATGGTAATGGTAGTAGTAATATTAATGGTAATAGTAGTGATAATGGTAATTGTAATGATAATGGTAATGGTAGTGGTAATGGTAATGGTAGTGATAATGGTAATGGTAATGTTAGTGCTATCTGTAATAATAATGATAATGGTAATTGTAATGGCAATGGTAGCGATAATAATAATTGTAATGGTAATGATAGTGATAATGATAATAGTAATGGTCATGGTAATTGTAATTGTAATTGTAATTGTAATGAGGGGCCAATCACGCTGCACTTGTTGTCGCATTCTCCCTCGACTGCACAGGAGCGGCAATATCTGACTTGCTAGCAGTCGCAGTAAACCCACCTGAGGTCCAAGAGGGCCCGTACGCCCAGATGACTTTGAGGGGCTCTGAGGGGTCGATGACGCTGCACTTGTCGTCGCAGTCTGAGTCGGGAGGCTTGAGCGGCCGGCTGAACTCGAACGTCAGCACCCCGTCCACCTGCGCACACGCACATGCACACTCACGCACACAAACAAGACAGCAAGGACAAACAGATTCTAAGGGGTTGCAAAATCAATCCATCCACCTTTACCCACATGCACATAACCGATAGGGATTTGAGGAGGGGGTAGGTATGCACACACAAACACAGGGACGGATTTAAGCAAGCACGGAAGCACGCACACCTGCACTGCATTGCATACATGCTCACCCTTTCTCCCTCCCCGTCCCCTTCCCCATGTCGCACCTGCATGCATTTGCTCATGGCGAGCGCCCCCCTGGTGGCATGCACGCTGCTGGCGTCCTTGCCATCGATCCAGGAGGATGCTACCCGCCCCTCGTCCTTGCCATCACTATACCCGGTATGCACTCTCTTCGTCCCCCTCACACTGAATGCACGCGGCCCCCACTCCCTCACCTCCTTTCACACAGTAACCCCCATATGCCGCACCTGCATGCACTTGCTCATGTCAAGAGCCGCCCCCACATGCTTTCCTCCCCCCCCCTCCCTCCCCCTTTCCCACACACCTGCATGCACTTGCTCATGTCGAGAGCCTCCTTAGCAGCATGCACGCTGCTGGCGTCCTTGCCGTCGATCCAGTACGACGCTACCCGCCCCTCGCCGCCCTCCACCCACCCCACATACGCCCACGAGTTCACCATGCCACTGGGGGGGCGCAGGGGAGAGAGGGGAGAAAGGAGGGAAGGGAGAGTGACTTGAGCGCAAGGGAGTGAGATGAGTCTATTCACCCCTCGCTGCCCGCCACCCACCCCACGTACGCCCACGAGTGACATGTACGCCACTGGGAGGGCGCACGGGAGGGGAGGTGGGAGGTGGGCTTGAGTTCAATGATGAAGTGGGAGGGGAAGTGGGATGGGGCATGTCTGGTTCAACGACAGAACCAGACATTGCGACACCTCTCACAACAGAAGCCTACGTGCCGAAAGCTATCGCAGTGTAGCCAGAGGGGTGCTCGCCTCTAACCGCAACAAAAATCGATGAAGCAGTGAGCGTCCAGAACATGGTGACGAGCCCGTCTGAGAGCTGCAAGGCACCCCAAGGGACCAGCTCTCGCTTTACCTGCCAAAGGCTATGGCGATGTAACCCGAAGGGTGCTCGCCCCTGACAGCCACAGAGGTTGAGGAGGCAGTGAGCGTCCAGAACATGGTGACGAGCCCGACTGCCAGCTGGAAGGCAAACCAAGGGACCAGCTCTAGCCTTACCTGCCGAAGGCTATTGCAATGTAGCCAGACGGGTGCTCGCCCCTGACTGCGACAGAAATGGAGGAGGCAGTGAGCGTCCAGAACATGGTGACGAGGCCGTCTGCCAGCTGGAAGCTGTGGTTGTACATGTCTGATAGCCCGCCGTCCACCACGTGGATTCGCCACCCCATCTTAGGCTCCGAGTAGCACTGTGGTTCAACAGTGAAGTTTGGAGAGTGAAGGGCAGAAGGGGCGGGAAGAGGATGATCGAGAGTCTAGAACGAGCTGGAGAGTGGACGTTGAAAGGGGATGGGAGGGGAAGGGAGTATGGTGGAAGCTGCGGTTGTACATGTCTCACAGCCCGCCGTCCACCATGTGTATTCGCCACCCCATCTTGGCCTCCGAGTAGGGAGGAGGGGGAGGAGGACGGTGGGCAGAAGGGAGTGGGAATGAGGGAGGGCATGTTGGCATTACGATGTCTGCCTTGTACCAATACTGAACGTCTCGCCACTACCAGTCCACCAGTCATCACCAACGGTCACCTAGTCACCCAACCATCCAATCACCCAACCACCCAACCACCCACCTGATAGTAAACGAGGTCAGGAGTAGAACTAGTGGGCTTCCACAGCAGGGTGTACGGGTCCGCCGGCACGCCGTGCGCCTCCTCGCCGCCCGCAAATATAATCTCCGACTTGTTAAACCGCCCGCCCACAGGATCCGATGTGATATACACCCCCAGGTCATGCCCTGCTTGTATCGAGAACTGCACTGGCACCCCCCTCTCCACCTTGATTTCTGGTGCCTCGTGCCCGTTCACATAGAAGCTTTTCGTTGACGCTGGCGGGTTGGGGTAGTGCGTGCTTTTGCCCGATGTGACTGTGATGAGCGTGCCTCGGTCTGCGACGACGACTTTCCCCCATCCGCTCCCCACCACCCCTCCCAACCCATCCTCATCATCATCATCATTATCATCCCCGTTCCCATCCCCACTCCCACCAGCCCCTCCCGCTCCTCCTCCTCCTGCTCCTCCGCCCCCTCCTCCTGCATTTCCCACACCAACTGCTGGGTTCAACACACTCTGACAGTCATCTACAGCCAGGCTTAGAGTCAACACCGCCACCCCAAAAAACGACCCTTGTGGGACCCCATGGTAGGACGGAAAGAGGTGGGCGGGGGGCGTTCGTGCCGCCCCTGCCACCCCACCTACCACCGAGGGATTAGAGGTGGAGGAGGAGGAGGATGAGGAGGATGAGGAGGAGGGGGATGGGATGGGCTTTAAGGAACCAAGCGCCCAGATCACGTTCATCTCATCCTCTGCGTCGATATCGTGATCAAATCTTTTGTCTGGGCTCACGAGCGGGCGGCGGAAGCGGACGAACGTGATGCCGTCCACCCGGTGGCCGTAGATCAGATCCACGTTGTCGAGAGACGAGTTGCCGCCGCCCATAAGCTGGTCGGGGCACACTCCCTCTGGTGGTTTTTTCTCCAGGTTGCATTCCCCGTATGATGTGATATAGTAATCCTCCACAAATGGTTTCGCCTGGTGAAAGGGGCCCGAGGTTGGATGGGGGAGAGAGAAGGAGGGGTCGTGTGTTATGAGGCATGCCCATAAGCTGGTCGGGGCACACACCCTCTGGTGGTTTTTTCTCCAGATTGCATTCCCCGTATGATGTGATGTAATAATCCTCCACGAATGGTTTAGCCTGGTGAGCAGGGAGAGGGGAAGGGTGGGGGGAATCGAGACACATGCCTTCAGGAACCTTCTCCTCCAGACTGCATTCCCGTACGTTGTGATATAGTAATCGTCCACAAACGGTTTCGCCTGGTGAAACAGCCCAGTGGGGACGTGGGATGAATGTGGCAAGGATATTGGAGGGAGGGGTAGAGAGTTGTGGCAAACGACTCATCAACCATTGCACAGGCTTACAGAGAGTACAAAATACATTCCTTCCTTCATTCCTTCACATACTTCCGCCATCTCCTCCTCCCTCCTCTCTCCTCCTTCCTCTGCCCCCCATCCTCCCTTCCTTCTCTAACCGTTTCGCTTTGCTTCTCCACCCTCTCCTTTCCCCTTGCTCCTCTCCCTTTCTTCCCCCCCCCCCCTCCCCCCCCTAACGCACCACTATCGAATCCCGCAATCACCACATCAGCAAACCCCATGAACTTGGTCACACTGTCCAGGTGCACCCATCCCAACCCCACCCCACCCACCCACGCAATGCGGTCCACTCCCCACAACCGCATCCACTCCCTTCCCTCTCCCCCTCCCCCCCTCCCACCTCCCCCTCCCAACTCACCACTTCATCGAATCCCGCAATAACCACGTCAGCAAACCCCATGAACTTGGTCACACTTTCCTGATCCGCCCATCCAAACCCCACCCCACCCATGCAATGCAGTCCCACTCCCTTCCCTCTCCTCCACCTCCCCCTTGAACTCACCACTTCATCGAATCCCGCAATCACCACGTCAGCAAACCCCATAAACTTGGTCACACTGTCCGGATCCGCCCATCCAAACCCCAGGTAATGCGGCCCACTCCCCACAACCGCTTCCAACCCCACGTCAACGAACCCCCTCGCCTCGTCCAGCGTCCACCGCACCCTATAACGGTGGCTCAGCTGCATGCAATTGTCAAACATGGTCGGCTGCCTCTGCCCCTGCTTCACCCTCGGCTTCGCAGGTGGCGGGGGTGACAGCAAAGGTGGGGACTGGGGAGGGAGTGCGTATGAGGGTTCTGGCGGGAAGGCTGTATCAGGGGAGGGGGCATCTGTGGTGGGGGAAGGCTGACGGGAGGAGGCTGGGGCGAGAGGGGAAGGGGAAGGGGCGGAGGCGGGGGCGGGGGAGGGCGCGGGGGAGGGGGAAGGCGCTGGGGATGGGGCGGGCGGGGGGGCTGGGGGTTCGATGATCTCTAGGGCTATGTGGCCGTAGTCTGAGGCAGTGGTTCGCGACCACACTGAGAGGAGCTTGAAGTCAGTCCACGTCACGTTTGATGCCAGTCGCACCTGGTTCAGGGATGAGGCATGGGAGGGAAGGGAGTGGAAAGAGAGGGTAAGCGGGTTAGTTGTTGCTAGGGCTATGTGGCCGTAGTCTGATGCTGTGGTTCGCGACCACACCGAGAGGAGCTTGAAATCGCTCCACGTCACGTTTGATGCCAGTCGCACCTGGTTCAGGAGGAATGAGGGGCGGACCCGGGGAAGGGATAAGGAAGGTAAGAAAAAGGGAGTATTATGAAGGGAAGAGTTGGTTGTCGCTGGGGCCATGTGGCCGTGATCTGATGCAGTGGTTCGCGACCACACTGAGAGGAGCTTGAAGTCACTCCACGTCACGTTTGATGCCAGTCGCACCTGGTTCAGGGATGAGGCATGGGAGGGAAGGGAGTGGAAAGAGAGGGTAAGCGGGTTAGTTGTCGCTGGGGCTATGTGGCCGTAGTCTGATGCTGTGGTTCGCGACCACACCGAGAGGAGCTTGAAATCGCTCCACGTCACGTTTGATGCCAGTCGCACCTGGTTCAGGAGGAATGAGGGGCGGACCCGGGGAAGGGATAAGGAAGGTAAGAAAAAGGGAGTATTATGAAGGGAAGAGTTGGTTGTCGCTGGGGCTATGTGGCCGTGATCTGATGCAGTGGTTCGCGACCACACTGAGAGTAGCTTGAAGTCGCTCCACGTCACGTTTGATGCCAGGCGCACCTGGTTAGGGATCCAAGGAAGAGAGATGGAGGAGGACAAGGCGGTGTCAGGGGGGTAGCAGGATGACGGCATGAAGACATGATGCATGATGGCATGACCACATGATGGCATGATTGTTAAGCGGCACTGCCAACTAACCACGACTGTTTGGCTGTTGAAGGTGCCGAGGAGGGGCTTGGGCGAGACGGGGAAGCCGTGCAGCAGGTCGGTGAGGGACGCGGACGCTGCTCCCCACCAGTACACGTCCTTCCCTGGCAGCATGTCAAACCGCGTCACCTGCCAAGAAGATTCGTCGAAGCATCAGGTAGCATAGAAGGGAGATGATATGAAAGCGCACAACGAGTTAACGGAATCAGCACAGCCAGAAGAGAACAAACGGTCCTGATTTCAGACGAATCAGAGAGGCGGCTACAATTCGCAATTCAGCAATGTTCACGCGTCACTGATGCACGAATCTACGGCTGTGCAGGACCAGAACCGTGACACGTGTTACCAAGCCTCGAATCCACGCCACCAAGCCGTTACACTCCAGCGACAACGACAGTCCACAGACCTACTTTCCTTAAACGAGCAATCGTCTCGAATATCGACCGTTGAGGGGAGCAGATGCTGCAGCATGCTGAGATGGCAACAAAGCCTGTCCTGTTGAAGCACCACGCAACCAAATCACTCACCTTGAACGAACAATCGTCTAGGATCTCGACCGTTCCGCGAAGCTGATGCTGCAGCATGCTGAGATCGGCGACGAATCCGACCCACTCGCTCTCCTTGCTGCACTGGTACCGCTCCTCCCCTGGTATCATCCCCTCCTCCTCTTGACCCTTCGCTGCACGATTCGCTACAAGAACGCTCGCTAAGAGAACAATTGCTAGCACGGATGGAGTCCATCCTGACTGAGTTAGTAAAATCTGATTGTAACGACGGCGGGTAGGAAGCTTCGTGCGATCTTTCTGCCCGCAGCGGAAATGCCGGGGTTGGTCTTGAGGTCCCCCGCATCGCATGTTAGCTTCGAGCCGCAGCCTGCTCGAGGCCCGCACGTGGCTCCAGCCTAAGGAGCTACTACTACGCTCTCGTTTGAATCACATCCAACATAGGCGGACCGGCTTGGAGAAACTACTTACCGGCTTGAAAAAAACCACCTAAGCTTTTGCTCAGAGACTTGCGAAGGTATTCGCGTACATTAGCGTGGTACTATAGGCACGAGGCTCAGCAACTAAGAAGAGTGAATTCGAGCCGTTCCCTCGACAGCCGCAACGGCACTTTTGTAACCTTTTTCCAGAGACGTTAATACGGCTACAGGCACTCTGATCTGTCAAGCAAACTCACGACAGAAATACCCGTCAGGCTAGGACGCACGTGATCAGCATTTAGAGATCGGCCATCGGCACTGGTCGAAGGAGCAGCCCACGAAACGTGCAACGAGATTCAACGAATTCGCTTTCGATTAGACGGCCAACGTAAGGAGCAGCTGCTACTGATAGCCACCAGCCAAACAGTAATAATATGAGCAATCAAAGACCGTCGAGTCCTCGACACGAGCACGCGTGCAAGCCGAAGTATGTGAGGAGAGGGAGCAGATTCACTGTTGGACAGTGATCCTTTCTGGAGGAACCTAAGAAACACTCTGTAGTCCCTTCTGATTTTGGCTCGAATAAATTATCTGCTTCCTCACAGAGCACGGAAAGCGAGTGACATTAACGAAGGGAGATGTTCCCAAGGCTCTGTCAGCGTGCTGTTCCGTGCAGATGCGCGCCACTTGGTGTCAGAAATCTCGTTAGATGTAACAGCGGTGTGCCAACTATACTTGTGTGAGATACTTTTATTGTGGTGCTCTGTAACAGTTTTTATGTTTTCAGCATGATAATAATTTTGTGTTATGTCTCATTAACCGTCCACCATTCAAGATGTCCGCTATCAGCATGTTCTTCTACTCGGATAATTCTTTACTATTGCCTAAAAACACTCGTATAAATAATCACCAGAAGCTGGTGCGAAATCATGTGCAGAAACTCAGTAGTAACGGCTACTCACAGTAAATTACTGCACGGAACCATTATGCTAGTGCCTTCAATCACAAGAGGGCCAAGAGGGCCACCGAGTCACACGAATCCCCAGCAGCACCAACCTGCAGCCAAAACCAGCAACAGAGCAGAGAAAATGAATTCTCACACAACACGTCTCATGGCAACCTCATCAGTGTTGATTGAGCAACACAAAATGAGGCCGGAAAGAGCAGGCAAGAGTCTCAAGATTCACACATGTAATCGCCAAAAAATGGCACTCTCAAGCAACGGAAAATGCATTGAGAGCTTCCTATCAGTTGACTGAAAAGCTCACTGTTGGCTATCCTTGGACAGGAGAAACAGACCATGAAAGCCATATTCCCGTGGCAGGAATGCCCAAAACACTTTACAAGATGCATCTATTCTATCGAGGCTCACTCAGGACTTCTTAAAGGGTTTAAAAAAGGTACGCATCGGCCTCGAAAGGCCTCATATACGTGTGATTTCATCACCGTGAGCGTCATTTTGTCACGAACAAATCGTGGTGACGAGGGTTGAGTAGCTTACCACGGTGAAGAGTTATGCAAACACTTCAGTCGGCGTTGTGCCACGGAAAGAGTCTTGTGTCAGATACAACATACAACAGGAAACAAAGAAAGTGCATTGTCAGAAAATGAAAACCCTTGGCTAGCAAGGTATATGTGAGTTAGCATCGGAACGCATACAAGCGCATATATGGGAACGAGAGGCGAAATGGAAATGTAGACGTCGCGGGAGAAAGTCCTTGCTTGACAAGAAAAGGTTCGGGGCTTTGAAACTGGTAGAATGCGGCACCAATAAAGACACATTGGAATTGTGAGGGACGAGAGCAGCTGTAATATACCACCACTTCGGCTTGCAGCTGGCGGGGAGGAAAGGGGAACAAATCATGGCTCGTTAGAAGCTGACATTAATTATTTAGAAACCAGCCATTTGAGTATTGTACACTTTCAGCTTAGAAACAGTCATGAGTAAAAACTCTTTTGTTTGGGGACGTCGAATTTCTGCAATTGCGGTTCCAATTTCTGGTTCACAAGCTTTCATCCCACACACGTCACGGTTGTCTTCGGTCTGTTGCTCCCAAGAACGGTAACTCGCAAGCACCGTGAGGAACCCAAGAACGGTTAAAGTTGCGGTCTACATACCTCAAGCGGGGGGCAAAGGTTTATCACTTGAAAACAGGGTAACACTCTCTCGAGAAGTACCTGTCTGCGGAGAAACGAACAATCGAGGCGGAAGGTTTCGGGAGGGAGGTGGGGGTTTCCAAACCAACAGCAAAACCGATTTCGCTGGTTTAGAACTTGAGCAACTTCGTTTGTGAGTTTGTATACCAAAACTCTAGCGATCAAGAGAGCCCAACTTCACCTAGTGAGTCACTCAGTTCCACCAGTGCGTTCTAGCGACACTGTCCGAGTCGGCCGCTTATTGTAATGAGCAGTCAAGCATACCATCGCGTTCTGCTCCGAGCTCGTCGCCGCGTTTAGGGTTTCGCCCGTCGCCGCATTCTGCTCGTGCTTGACTGTCGTGCTCCCGCTTTCAGCGTCGCCACGTTTCTGCCGCGCTTAGGAACTCGTCGCTTACGTCTCGTCGCGTTCAATCATTCGGTCCCCGTTCGTCGCCTTTCGTCGCTCGGATTTCAACTGTCGCAGTTCCTCGAAGGCCGTTTGTAGCAGTGGCAATCAAGTCACCGTTTTCCGCCGTGTTGAAACCAATCCTCGATTAACGGTCGTCGCATTTCTGCTCGTCGTATTTCCACGTCGCCTTCCGCTCGCACCTAGAAACTCGACTTTCGCTGCTAGTCGCCGAGTGTCGCAGCTTCCACTCTTTGACAGTTCCCGCAGATTTGTTAGCCGTTGCTCGTTGCTCGATGCGCGTCGCTTCCCGCTGTCTAGCTTTTGCGCGCTGCATCATGCTCCCCGCTTTCAGCTCAGCGCATTCAGCCCCCACATTTCCGCTCTCCGCTTTCAACGTTGCCGCTCGTTTGGTTCCGCTCGATGCTCGCCATTTCCGTCGCTTTGCTCCGTTTTACTTTCATCTCCAGTTCGCGAGTCGTCCGTTGCTCGCAGCTCTCAAATGTCGCCGCTGATCGCACAGCGACAGGCTGTAGCAACCAGCCATTCAACTAGCGTTCTAATATTACCCCCTCTCCCTAAATTCCCTCATACCTCTTCGCGTGATGCCCTCATTCCCCTCTCGCACTTTTCGCCCCTCTCCCCTAGTCCCCTATCTTCTATTACTTCCAACCACCTACCTCTCCTGCATTGCAGCTGTGAGGCGCGGAAGCAAGAAGGGCAGATGCCATGGTGGTGGCTTAGTCTCTGCCTTGCTATCACTCCTCCCCGCCTTCCCATCCCTCCACCCTGCCTTGTCTTCCTCTCCCCGCCTTCCCATCCCTCCACCCTGCCTTGTCTTCCTCTCCCCGCCTTCCCATCCCTCCACCCTGCCTTGTCTTCCTCTCCCTGCCTTCCCATCTCCCTCCGTGCCCCCTCACGCTTACCTGCCCTCCCTCCCCTCACCTCCCCCCTGTCTACAGGCAAGCTCTCCTCTCTCCAACCGCTGTCCAGGATTGAGTAGCGTAAAAAACGTGAAGGGTGCAGCGAGGAGGCGATAACGTGAAGGTGATAGGGGGATGGGAGCGAGAAAGCGCGAGGGGTAGCAGCGATCTGCGAGGGAGGTCAACAGACGGAAGGCGGGGGTAGATTAGCTGCAAGAGACGCAAGGAAGGGATGGGGCTGTGTGGGGAATAAGCAGTGAGAAAGGGGCGGAGGAGGAGGGGCCGGTTAGGAGGGGGGGGAGGGAATAATCAGCGAGAAGGGGGGGTGGAGAAGGGCTGTGTGGTAGGCAATCTCCTGTGTGCACTCTCTCCCTTACTCCCACCTCCGCCCTCTCGCCTCTCCCTTACTCCCACCTCTTTCCCCTCTCTCGTTACTCCCATCTCTTTCCCCTCTCTCCCTTACTCCCACCTCCGCCTTTTCCCCTCTCTCCCTTAAACTTCTTTCCCGTTTCTTCCTCACCCATGCTTACCTTTGTTCCTTCCTGCTCAAACTTTGTTTCTCCCTGGTTACCCTGTGTTTCCCCCCAGCTTACCCCTGGTTTCCCAGCTGCCAACACTCTGTTGTCACTTTCCCCCTCGTTCCATTGTTTCCTCTCCTCTAAAACCCTCAGATTCTCCATAAGGCCTCTCTTCTCTTGCTCTGTTACCCCTGTTGTTGTGCGCTAGCTCTCCCCTTCCTTGCCCCTAATTTCTTGCAATCTGTTTCTGCTCCCCCTGGCTTCTCCTTCCCCCCTTCCCGGTCCCTTCTGTGGTGCAGCTCGTCGAGCATGAAGCAGTGAACAAGACAAGCTAGGTACTGGCTACATTTAGGATAGTGTGGACCGATGCCATATCCGAACATCAAGTATCAAGTTTCACAAACAAGAATCCTGTACATCCAATAGTGATGGCGTTGGCAAAGGTTCTTTACATCCTAGTAATGGCATTGGTGATGTTTGGTTATAATGTAAAGGTCTCTCTTCCGGAACACCGCTTCATGAAGAGAGCAGGACTATTGTCCTAGAAACATCTCAAGGTACAAAACAGCCTTCCACCACTCGTGTCGCCTCGGCTCCTCAATGGGCTCTTGCACATGTTGATGCACACTCTGCGCCGCCGATACTTGGAAGGGCACAGCTTTGCCCTGCACATAGTAATGGGGAGTAAGGATGGGGGAAGGAAGGGGAGATGGGAAAGGACAGGGCATGAGGAAGGGATGAGAGATGGGAGCATGGGAGGAGAAGAGGCGCGGACGGAAAGGAAGGGAAGGGAAGGGAAGGGAATGGAAGGGAGGTGAGGGAAAGGTATTAGAAGGGAAAGGAAAGGAGACGATGGGAAGGGAAGTGCAGGGAGCAGGAGGGAAGGGACGGGAAAGAAAGGTAAGGAAAGGGAAAGAAAGGAATCTGAGGGGAATGTCAGCAAAGGTATGGATAGTGGTTTGGAGTGAGGGATAGTGATAGGGAAAGTGAGGTGCGCAGGTTCGTGCGAAAGGTTCGGAGGGATGAGGAAAGGTGCTGGCGCATGAATGGCCGCATCTCGCGCATCCCGTCAAACGCGCAGCTGGCGGTTCCGTGGCGGTCACGAGGCTGCAGACACGGGTGGCGGAAGGGGGGAGGGGGGAAATGTAGACAAAGTAATGGGGAAATGGGGTAGAGAACGGTGAAATGAGGGGAAGGAGGGATGGGAATGAGGGCATGGAGGGGGGAAACGGGGAAAGGAGGGGGAGACGTGAGGGAAAGAAGGGGTCGAGGGAAGGGAGGAGATAGAATGAGCTGAGAGAGGGGTTGGGGGGGATAGGAAGATGGGAGTGAGGGATGGGAGGAGATAGGAGGAGGAGGTGCGACCTGGGGGAACAGGGAGGTGCGTCCTGGGGAAAGGGAGGTGCGACCTGAGGGGAAAGGGAGGTGTGACCTGGGGGGAAAGGGAGGTGCGACCTGGGGAAAGGGAGGTGCGACCTGGGGAAAGGGAGGTGCGACCTGAGGGGAAAGGGAGGTGCGACCTGGGGGGAAAGGGAGGTGCGACCTGGGGGGAAAATGACATGAACCCTGGGGGGAAAGTGAGGTGCGACCTGGGGGGAAAGGGACAAGCGACCTAGGGGGAAGGGACTCGCGACCTGGGGGGAAGGGACTCGCGACCTGGGGGGGAAGGGACTCGCAACCTGGGGGGAAAGGGACTCGCGACCTGGGGGGAAAGGGACTCGCGACCTGGGGGAAAGGGACATGCTACCACATACGTCGGGTTTGCCACAGGAATGGCCGCTACCCTGTACTCTCCTAGCAAGGATCGCGGCTGCGAGTGTGGTGGCGTGGAAAAGGCGATACGGCACGCGCACATGGCGAGAATTGCGACTGTGTGGTAGGGTGGCGTGAAACAGGCGCTACGGGTGACGCTACTAGCGGGAATCGCGGCTCTTAGCGTGGTGTCGCAAAACAGACGCCGCGAGCGGGAATCGCGGCTTAGCGTGGTGGCGCGAAGAAAACGCTACGCTACGCGCACCTGGCCAGAATCGCGGCTGTGAGCGGGGTGGCGTGAAACAGACGTTACGCTACACGCTGCTAGCAGGAATCGCGGTTATCAGCGTGGCTGCGTGAAACAAATACTACACTACGCACTCCCCGCGAATTTTGCGACAGTTTATCACTTGGTGGCGTGCAGCATTCTGCTGCGCTGCCTGCAGCCAGCGGGGATTTGCAGCCTAGAGTGGTATGGAGAAGATTGCACGTTTGGCAGTTATGGTCAACAGGGCCTGCGTTTTCTATTCCGCTTGGTTGTTTTTGTTGGGCGCAGGGTCTTCCGCATTTCCGCGGAGTACTTCCCCCAAGCAAACCAGCTTACGAAAATTGTTTGTCATCGCCAGCGGTGTTTGAATTCCTCGCACAGGTGTTTGGGGAAGAAGCTCACTTCGCTCTCGAATCATGTTGGGCCAAAGGGTGTGCACTTCAATTACCCCCAGAAAATACCTTTTAGAATGTAGACCGCAGCTTTAAAGCTCAAGGCCCAAATTGCAGAGCGCGCGGGACAAGCTTACTAAAGTTGATCGGAGTGCTTTCTGAGTGTTGTTTTGGTTGCGAATTGTGGTTACGAGAAGTGCGATGCAATTTGATTGGCCATCAATTTTTGGACGAATCGGAAAGCAGGAAACACCAAGAATATTGTGAGTGCAATTTGGGACTCGAGAACCAGAACCGAGTTGCTTCCTGGGGTTTGCTGAGTCAGCGAAAATTCTGACTGTGTAGCGAGAAGCTGCGCGAAACTAAACACACCAACTTCAAACAAGTCAACCTTCCTCTCACGCTACCCAAAGGTCAACCTTACTAAGGTTGAACAATTTGGGCCTTGAGCTTTAACCGCATGCTATGCAAATATACCTCTTCCAGCTCCAAAACAATCATGCCAGCAATTAAAATTCCTTAAATAAACTTCTTTCAACGTCTAGGAAGCAGCTGTCGGGGATCGATCGCGTGCTGTGGTGTTTCTCCCTGACCGCGCCTCGTACGTTCTGCATTCACTCCTCTCGCCGCTCGATCTCTGAACCGAACTGCACCGTAACCGCTTATCAGCTTTCCCCGTGAAGAATAACCGACAGCCAGGGAATCGGCACATCAGTCGTGTCAATGTTCGGCGGGGGGACGAGTCGGACGTACGGCGTTAAGTTTCAGGCGAGATGCATCGCGGCGCAAGCTGGCGAGAAGCACCACACGCGGTTCCTCGTCGGCACGCTGAGCCTGCGCGAGGAGAATGAGGTGCTACGTGGGTGTCGTGACCGTGCTGTATGGGTGACTTAACCGTGCTGTGTGGGTGACTTGACCGTGCTGTGGCATGGGATGGCTAAAGGGGATGGGAGCGATGTGACTTGGGAAGGATGTAATCAGGAAGGATGTAAGTGGGATTTTTGTGGCCTATCAAAGCACCACACGCAGTTCCTGGTCGGCACGCCGAGCCTGCGCGAGGAGAATGAGGTGCGGTGTAGGTGACCTGACGGTGGTCTGGGATGGGATAGGTGCGACTGCCTAGGAGGTAACCGAGAAAGTCACTGGGATTCCTGAGGCCTCTGAAAGCTCCCCACGCGGTTCCTGGTCGGCACGCTGAGCCTGCGCGAGGAGCATGAGGTGCTGTGTAGGTGACTTGACAGTGCTGTGGGATGGGATGGCTGAAGGGGATGGGAGAGACACGACTGGGAAGGATGTACCTAGGTGAGATGTAAGAGGGATTATGGAGGCCTCTCAAACCAGTACACGCTGTTACTCGTTGGCACGCTGAGCCGGCGCAAGGAGAATGAGGTGCTGCGTAGGTGACGGTGTTGTGGCATGGGGTAACTGAAGGGAATGAAAAAATGATGTTTTCTGATTAACGTGGACATTGCTGACATGAGTCGTTTTGAGACGTCTCAAAACTTCTGATTAACATGGACATTGCTGACATGAGTCGGATGGGATAGTGGGGGATGTTGTGGAATGGGATGTAAGTGGAAATTGACGCTGCCTTCAGATGAACGTCAGGTGGGACCTTATGTGGGACCTTATGTGGGACCTTATGTGGGACCTTATGTGGGACCTTATGTGGGACCTTATGTGGGACCTTATGTGAAACCCCAAGATCGACCTTCGATCTCAAGTGGGAACTCACGTGGGATGAGATTGAACGAGATGGTGAACTCGATCCGACCCGCGCATTGGCTTCCACAAGAGCTGGCTGGCATGGTGGTGAGGCGAGTGGGTGCGAATCACATTCGGTCTCACAGGTGTCGTAAATAGCATATTGCTGCTGCTGCTGCTGCTGCTGCTGCTGCTTCACCTCATTCCCCCAGGTGCATCTCATAAAGCTGGCGGACGGCGGTTCAGAGGTGACCTGCGAGGGGCTGTACTGTACCTGCACCAGCATGAGATCTGGCACCTTGTATTCTATACCATATCGTCCCAATGCCTCATCCTGTTGCTGCTGCTTCACCTCCCGTCCTCAGGTGCATCTGATCCAGCTGGCAGACGATGTCACAATGGATCAGAGGTGACGTGTGAGGGGCTGTACTGTACCTGCACTCCATGAGGCTTACCCTTACAGCAGACGCCGTGATTCGTCTCTTTTTGTCCCACTTTGTTGCTGCTTCACACCACCTCCCGTTCTCAGGTGCATCTGATCCAGCTGGCAGACGATGGCTCAGAGGTGACGTGTGAGGGGCTGTATCTGCATCAACACGAGATCTGGGATCTTGCCACGTGTCCCTTTGACTCAGCCCTGCTCTCCACTGTGTACGCCTCTGCCGGCGAATACCACGCCGCCATCTGGCGGATACCGGATAAGGCTTTTTCGTATGGCACTGGCGCTCCCTCCTTGCAACTGGCCGCGGAACTGAAGGGTCTCGAAGCTCCTGTGAAAAAGCAAGTACCTTATATCTACTATCTTTTAGAGATCCGTGATTATGCGGCGCAAGGGTCTCGAGCTTCCTGTGGAGAACCAAGGGCTTTCTATCTGTGTTTGAGTCGACTCAAAAGCAAGGGCTTTCTATCTGTGTTTCTGTCAGCTTTTTCGTGGCATCATATCATCGCCTTTCCTCGTCCCCTGTACCCCACTTGCACAATTTAATCACAGCGTGTCGTACTCTGCAAAATATTCTGTCCTCCTGACACACCACCATCTCCTCCCTGCAGGGTACTATGGTACGGGGGGGACGTGGCGCTGCACAGAGTGATTACGATCGACGAGGAGATCATCTGTGCATGGGACCTCGCCTCCAGCACTCGAGCAGCACAGTTTGCTTCAGTGAGTTCTTTCCGCAGGGTGTGTTTGAGAAGTCTCAGTAACGCTATGAACAGAGTGATCACGACGATCGACGAGGAGAACATCTGTGCATGGGACCTCGCCTCCAGCACTCGAGCAGCGCAAATCGCCTCTGTGAGTTCAGCTCAGCTCGACTCAGTGACGTCTGGGGGGTGTGTTTAGAAATTCTCAGGAAACAATAAAAAACTGCGCAAGCGGCAAGCAGCAGGTTGCAGAGGCTGCACACGGTGGCGTGGGATGGGATGGGACCCACACAATGTCCCTCCCCCATTTTTCCATTCCCCTTGCGTGCCCCTTCTCTTCATTCCTTCTCGTTGATTTGCTCCTTGAATTACGCCCTTCCCTTGACCCAACCCCTTCCTGTGACTCACCCCATCCTCCTATCTTACATCGATTGGCAGGCGAAGCAGCGGGTGACAGGCAGCGTGCTGCAGGCTGCACACAGGGGTGTGGCACCCTCACAACAACCTCCCCATTCTACCACCTTCTCGCTGCCCCGTTCCCCTTGATCTACTCCCCCACTCCTCCTATCTCGCCCTGACTCACAGGCGAAGCAGCGGGTGACAGGCAGCGGGCTGCAGAGGCTGCACACAGGGGCGTGGGACCCACACAACGCAGACACCATCGCCACCACAGCTGACACGTCCATTGCCTGCTGGGATCTCAGAGCCGCCATGTGAGTCACGTGTGGTGAATCGCTCAAGACGTCTAAATGCTGTTGTCAACTCGCCACCACCACTGCCAACACCATTGCCACCCCTGCAGACACCTCCGTTGCGTGCTGGGACCTGCGAGCCGCCATGTGACTCACATGGTGAATTGTTCAGGTTGTCACAACCACCACTGCCACCACCATTGCCACCACTGTCAATACCATTGCCACCACTGTCAATACCATTGCCACCACTGTCAATACCATTGCCACCACGGCTGACAACTCCACAAACACTCTGTTTTTCCTTCTCGCCGCCCCTCCTCTACACAGCAAGACGGCGAGCATAGAGGGAGCGCACCACCTGCAGATAAGAGACATAGACTTCAACCCCAACCACCCGCACATCTGCAATGTCTATCCCTCATCCCATCTCTCTCTCTGCATCCTTGTGGTTATGTTGACAGCAAGACGGCGAGCATAGAGGGAGCGCACCACCTGCAGATAAGAGACATAGACTTCAACCCCAACCACCCGCACATCCTCGCATCGGCGGGGGACGACTCGCGCATTCGCCTGTGGGACCTGCGCTCCACCAAGCAGGCTATTGTGGAGCTCCCAGGCCACTCCCACTGGTATGGCCCAGTTTGCTGGGTTCCTTCTCGTTGTGTTGACTTGCGTTGACTTGCGTTGACTTGCGTTGACTTGCGTTGACTTGCGTCAGCTGCACGCCTTTGTCGACATACAGTTTCCTTGTACAGTTTGCACTGCCTGCCCTGCACACCGGTGTGCGTCCTCACGTCCTAGTGGCTCTATCATTTTCCTCCCATTCCTGCCTGCCTGCTTGCCGTTATCTCTGAGCAGGACTTGCAGCGTTCGCTACAACCGATTCTACGATGAGCTTCTGCTGGTCAGTGCCACTCCTTTGGTCCTCTAATTCTTCTATCTTGTTCCTGTCGATCATTGCACCTCTCTTGCTCTTGTTGCCGCTTCCACCGTCCCACATCCTTTCCTGTCCCGTCTATTCTTCCCCTTCGATCCCCATCAGTTTCCCGTTTCTCACCTTCATTGATGAGGCGATTTTTGAGTCGACTCAAAAATCGTTTCTCACCTTCACTCCACCTTCCCTCCACCTTAACTCCGCAATCAATGCACCTCACTGCACCTCACTGGACCTTCACTAAAGCTTCAGTGCTCCATTGTTCCCTCCTCGTTCCTTTAACTCCCCTTATTCATCCCAACAGAGCAGCGGCACCGACTCAGCAGTCAACCTGTGGCACGTGCCCTCAGCCTCGGCAGCAGCCGTGGCTGACCATCTGCGTGCCGGACCTAACCCAACAGGCTCGGGAAGACCAGCGGCAGCAGCAGGGGGGTATTCCAGAGGGGGCGTGGACGAGCTGGCAGTCAGCTTCACAGATTATGAAGACAGCGTATATGGTGGGTGCAGTGCGGTTCTGTAAGGTACGTCTGTCACAATAAGTAGCAGCAGGGGGGTATTCCAGAGGGGGAGTGGACGAGCTGGCAGTCAGCTTCACAGACTGTGAAGACAGCGTTTATGGTGGGTGCTGCAGGGTGTTCTTTAAGTTGTTCGAAATATAGATGAATTCTGAGTTGACTCAAAAGCCAATACCTCGTCCAAGGCAGGGCGTCGACGAATCGGCAGTCAGGTTCAGAGTATGAAGACAGCGTTTATGGTGGGTGCTGGTAGTCTGTCTGTCACAAGCAGGGTATCCCAGGGGGGGCGTGGATGAGTCGGCAGTCAGTTTCACAGACTACGAGGACAGCTTCTATGGTGGGTGCTGCATGGTTCTCTGAGGTACCAGGAATTCTGTCTGTTGGTGCAGACATTTTCCACAAAACATGTTTCCTTCTACTTCTTCTTTCCTTCTCTCATTCTATTTAGTCATATTAACTACTCAGCTTTTTCTAGAATCCCTGTTGTTGCGCCCATTGCTCTTACCCGCTTTCTAGGCGTCATGTGGAGCGCCATTGACCCCTCTATGTTCGCCTCTCTGTTGAGACATTTAGAAAATCAACCTAATATATTCCCTCCCCTCCCCCCCCCCTCCCCCCCCCCCCCCCCATCCTCCTCCCTCCCCCACCAGGCGTCACATGGAGCGCCATCGACCCGTGGGTGTTCGCCTCCCTCTCCTATGATGGCCGCGTGAGTCCTGCCCACCCACCAACCACACTCCCGTTTTCTTTCAGAACCTACCGTAGCACTGCTTATAAAATATAGTCCTGCTTCTAGGATTTTTTCTTAAAGCTTCCTGTCCAACAAATACCATAGGCTGTGCCAGCCATTGTTTGCAAGGTTCCATTCCAACCACCTGATTCCCCCTTCCACTGGTCCTGGCAGGTGGTGGTGGACCTCGTTCCCACTGTTGTTCGCAGCAAATGCCGCCACTAATGCTGCCACTGGTACTGTACATGCAGTGTATCGTACAGTACAGAATCTGAAGTGGAAACCAACCAATGCTGGAATGCAAGTGCCCAGAGGTGCATCTGCTGCTGCTGCCACTGATACCGTATATAACACGTCATATGTATTTCATTCCGCAACAGTTTTATTTTGTATCCGCCACCAATTCATCTGGATCCTGAACACAATCTGAGACTCATGTGCTAGCCTCAATACTGTCTGTACAGCTGTGTTGCATAAAGTCTTTCTTATAATGAGGTGGATTGATAGAACAATTTGAAAAAGTGATGCCATTGTGTGATCCCCATCTGACTGTCTGTAACTAAAAGACTTGTACAGATTGGACCAACCTCCACAAGCCTTGCTGTGCCTGCAAGCGTAAACAAGCCAGAGCAAGTGTGAGGTGAGTGGCTCGCTCATACAATAAGAACCAATCACCAGCAGTGCAAATGGACGATTCACCAAGACATTAAGTGCAGCAATTGTTTAATGTATAACTTCATATTTCAACCCGTGTGGTAAGGCAGACCTGAGATAGGAAATGAGACTCACCACGATCAATGAGCTGTTTGTTGCTGCGCTGCACGTCAGGCATGTCAACACCGGTGGTGCTGCTTCTCCTGCTCGTTGTACCACTGCACGTACCTGCATGCACGCAGCAGCGAGTGACGAGTGAGGTAGTATGGAATGGGGGTGCGTTACGTACATTAGGGGTGAGAATGATATACAATGAACTAGATGTGAGATACTATGGACAGGTGTGAGAGCAGAGACGAGGGTTGGAGGTAGATAAAAAGGAAGACCTGGGCGTTCAAGGGCGCGTTGGCATTGCAACGAAAGGATTGCGAAAGTGGGGGTTGGGTCAAACGAACACAGGAGCAAGAGAAAGATGGAAGCGGGGTCAAGGGTTCATAGAGCCGGGACGACGGAAGCGAAAGGCGTTGGGGATCTAGAGAAACGACAAGGACCCCGAAAGGGCTCGAATCGTGGAACGGAGGAGAGAGCGACATCGGAAAGGAATAAGCGGAAGGAACAAGCGAAGCAACTTCTGGTCGCGAGGAGCATAAGTAGAAGCACGGCCGCTGGTAGGAAAGGAACCGAAGGTGGTGGCGATCGCATCGACGAACTCGCACTCGAAAGTCGTTCTGGCGGTGGCTTCTATTCAACTAAAGTGCGATCTAATATCGCGTACCAGTAGGTCCCTGCGATGGGTCCAACGCAGGTGGCGGCGTCGAGCCAGTTGTTCTTGATCTTCTTGACCCACTCCTTGCCCATGTCCTTCCACAGCCCCGGCATGATCTTCTGCTCGAACGGCGACAGCGCGTACGTCACCTCCTTGAGACGCACGGGAACCCTCCCCATGGCTGCGGCGGCTCTGAACGGCTTCGCGATGCGGACTTGGCGAGGATCTGATACTGACGGGCCTACGGACAGAAGTAATGCGCGGCGGCGTAAGCAAGAAAATGGAGCAGATTGACGAAAAGTAAGCCAATGCTAAGGCGGAAAATAAACAGGGAGTTCTCAATTTGCAAGACCGTAACTGTGATTTGTAATTTAAGAAATTCAACTTCAATGAAAAAAGTATCTATGTGATCACGGATCAGCTTATACAAGGAATACCACCTTTGCGTGCTCTCATTGGCCACCTTCCGTGGCCAGCACCTGGGGGAATCATTGGGTGTCGCGAAGTGTGGGATGGGGTGGGGTGTGAGGGGAATGGGGTTGAATGACGCCCAAGTTCCGCAACCTTTCCCACCGGAGCAGACCCGCTCGCCGACCATTTGCGCCCCACCAACCAGGGAGCCAGTCCCATCACACACGCGCGGACCTACATCGCCCACCTACCACCCAGCGCACGCTACAAACCCGACCACCTTGGGATTTCCTTTCCGCCTGATTTCCAATTGCCGCATCATTTCTTGCCGCCTGCGCCTCATCTGCGCCGCTGGCTGCAAATCCGCTCGCCCGCCACCCTCGGAATCATCATCATCCTCTCGCTCCCACCCACCCACCGCTCCACTCGTCGGCTCCTTGATTTTACCGATTTTCAAACGTCTTCACTTGAGTTCAGGCATCCTAGGGACTACATTTCTCGCTTCTACTCGTGTTGTTCCTCTTGTCTGGTCAGAGCGCTTCGACTGGTCGCCTCGCCAGACCAGTTCCACGTGTAAAGGCAGCCGCCGATTGTTAAACTGCTTGAAGAAATCCAGCTGCTTTCGATCGTAGATGCCTGCATTGCTCGGTTTCTTGACATGATAACGTGATTCCCAACCAATGGCGTCCACTGCTCCGGCCAGCGCCGCTCGCGGGCGACGCAACGCCAAAGCTGACGGGTTCCAGTGGGACAACCCCGGCGAAGAGCCAGTTTCCCCGAGCTCCCCCTCTCGCCGCCCTTCGTTCCTCCGCCTTTCCACCACCTCGACGATCCTCCTGCTCTCCGCGATCTTCGTCGCCGCTCTCCTTTTCATCGGCTTCCGTAATTTCCGCGTCGAGGCCCCCGCGCCGCGCTCCAGCGCGTCGCTAGGCTCGTTAGACGGCGATTACGGAACTGGCGACGATGACGGTTACGGCACAACAACCAACGCGGCAGGTTCCACGTGGCCGACCGGCAGCAAGTCGTCAAAACTGACGGCCACCGGAACGGGGGTTTCAGGATCGTTCGGGTCTACCGGCTTGACGGAAAACGTTGGAAAGAAAACGTCGTGGGACGAAATGTCGGAGGATGAGGATGACTTAGGAACCACCACGGGCTCTAGCTGGCCGAGCAAGAGTAGCTCCGCAATCGGCGGCGGGTTTGGGGGCGGACTTGGCGCTTCGTCGAGCTGGAAGAAGGGGGTCGCAGGCAGGGGAAGCAGCGGGAACTCGTGGGGTGGCGGCGGCGCGGATACGATGGATGATGACGTGGACACGTTCTCGAGCAGCGCGAAAACCGCGGGAAGGTTTGGCGGCGGCGCGATGGGTGATCTGGGTATGGGAGACGATGATGACGATGGGGGGGCGTTGTATCCGAAAGAGAAAGGCAGAGCGAGGCCAGGAGACCGGGAGACCGGGAGGGGTATGGAGCTCGAAGGGTATTCTAAAAGCACTGCTTCTGGTTATGCGAAAGGCGCGGTGGGATATGGTAAAGGGACGACAGGGTATGGTAAGAGCGGACGAGGCGGAGTCGCTTCGACGCGGAAAGGCGGTCGTGGTGATGATGAGGATGACGTGGATGAGGAGGAGGATGACGTGGACGAGGAGGATACCAGGAGCAGCAGAAAGAAGGGGAGGAAGGGGAAGAAAGCGAAGAGGAGCAAGAAGAAGATCGGGAAAAAGACCAAGACGAGGGGAAAGACGACGAAGAAAACCACCAAGCGCAAATCACGCAAATACGGTAAAAAGAGCGGCAGCAAAAGCGGCGAATCGGACTGGGAAGACGACGAGAGGTCGTTCGGTCCCCTGGGAAAATGGGGACGGAAGAAGAAGAGCCGACGGAGCAAGGCAGCAGAGGAAGAGGAGGAGGACGAGGACGATGACAGGGGCAGCAGCAGCAGATATGGCAGTTCGGGTAGTTCAGGATATTCGAAGAAGCGGGCCCGGGGAGTGGGGGGCTACGACGGGGACGCAGATACCTCCGCGTCGTACAGACAGGGCGCGGATCGCATGGGGGGAAGCCGCGGGGAGCGCGGAGGGCGCGGTGGGCGCGGGTTTGACAAGGGGGGAGGTGACCCGCTGGACCAGGCTTGGGATGACCTGGGGGGCGGGCGAGGGGGGCGGGGAGGACGCGGGTTTGGCCGGGGAGACGATGACGCGGAGGCGGAGATGGGGGGAGGCGGAGGCGTGGGCGCGCGGCAGCAACGGCAGGTGGGCGGACGAGGGGCGTACGGCGGAAGAGCAAGACAGAGGGGTGCTGACGTGGATGATTATGGCGACGGCGGAAGGACTACAAGTGGGTGAGTGTGAATGAGTGAATGGGTGAGTGTGAATGAGTGAATGTGTGAGTGTGACTGAGTGAATGGGTGAGTGTGACTGAGTGAATGGGTGAGTGTGACTGAGTGAATGGGTGAGTGACCGAGTGAATGGGTGAGTGTGACTGAGTGAATGGGTGAGTGTGACTGAGTGAATGGGTGAGTGTGACTGAGTGAATGGGTGAGTGTGACTGAGTGAATGGGTGAGTGTGACTGAGTGAATGGGTGAGTGTGACTGAGTGAATTGGTGAGTGTGACCGAGTGAATGGGTGAGTGTGACTGAGTGAATGGGTGAGTGTGACTGAGTGAATGGGTGAGTGTGACTGAGTGAATGGGTGAGTGTGAATGAGTGAATGGGTGAGTGTGAATGAGTGAATGGGTGAGTGTGACTGAGTGAATGGGTGAGTGTGACTGAGTGAATGGGTGAGTGTGACTGAGTGAATGGGTGAGTGTGACTGAGTGAATGGGTGAGTGTGACTGAGTGAATGGGTGAGTGTGACTGAGTGAATGGGTGAGTGTGAATGAGTGAATGGGTGAGTGTGAATGAGTGAATGGGTGAGTGTGACTGAGTGAATGGGTGAGTGTGACTGAGTGAATGGGTGAGTGTGACTGAGTGAATGGGTGAGTGTGACTGAGTGAATGGGTGAGTGTGAGTGAGTGAATGGGTGAGTGTGAATGGTGAATGGGTGAGTGTGAATGAGTGAATGGGTGAGTGTGACTGAGTGAATGGGTGAGTGTGAATGGGTGAATGGGTGAGTGTGAATGAGTGAATGGGTGAGTGTGACTGAGTGAATGGGTGAGTGTGACTGAGTGAATGGGTGAGTGTGACTGAGTGAATGGGTGAGTGTGAATGAGTGAATGGGTGAGTGTGACTGAGTGAATGGGTGAGTGTGACTGAGTGAATGGGTGAGTGTGACTGAGTGAATGGGTGAGTGTGACTGAGTGAATGGGTGAGTGTGACTGAGTGAATGGGTGAGTGTGAATGGGTGAATGGGTGAGTGTGAATGAGTGAATGGGTGAGTGTGACTGAGTGAATGGGTGAGTGTGAATGGGTGAATGGGTGAGTGTGAATGAGTGAATGGGTGAGTGTGACTGAGTGAATGGGTGAGTGTGAATGGGTGAATGGGTGAGTGTGAATGGGTGAATGGTTGAGTGTGAATGAGTGAATGGGTGAGTGTGACTGAGTGAATGGGTGAGTGTGACTGAGTGAATGGGTGAGTGTGAATGAGTGAATGGGTGAGTGTGACTGAGTGAATGGGTGAGTGTGAATGGGTGAATGGGTGAGTGTGAATGGGTGAATGGGTGAGTGTGAATGAGTGAATGGGTGAGTGTGAATGGGTGAATGGGTGAGTGTGAATGAGTGAATGGGTGAGTGTGACTGAGTGAATGGGTGAGTGTGACTGAGTGAATGGGTGAGTGTGACTGAGTGAATGGGTGAGTGTGACTGAGTGAATGGGTGAGTGTGACTGAGTGAATGGGTGAGTGTGACTGAGTGAATGGGTGAGTGTGAATGAGTGAATGGGTGAGTGTGAATGAGTGAATGGGTGAGTGTGACTGAGTGAATGGGTGAGTGTGACTGAGTGAATGGGTGAGTGTGACTGAGTGAATGGGTGAGTGTGACTGAGTGAATGGGTGAGTGTGAGTGAGTGAATGGGTGAGTGTGAATGGTGAATGGGTGAGTGTGAATGAGTGAATGGGTGAGTGTGACTGAGTGAATGGGTGAGTGTGAATGGGTGAATGGGTGAGTGTGAATGAGTGAATGGGTGAGTGTGACTGAGTGAATGGGTGAGTGTGACTGAGTGAATGGGTGAGTGTGACTGAGTGAATGGGTGAGTGTGAATGAGTGAATGGGTGAGTGTGACTGAGTGAATGGGTGAGTGTGACTGAGTGAATGGGTGAGTGTGACTGAGTGAATGGGTGAGTGTGACTGAGTGAATGGGTGAGTGTGACTGAGTGAATGGGTGAGTGTGAATGGGTGAATGGGTGAGTGTGAATGAGTGAATGGGTGAGTGTGACTGAGTGAATGGGTGAGTGTGAATGGGTGAATGGGTGAGTGTGAATGAGTGAATGGGTGAGTGTGACTGAGTGAATGGGTGAGTGTGAATGGGTGAATGGGTGAGTGTGAATGGGTGAATGGTTGAGTGTGAATGAGTGAATGGGTGAGTGTGACTGAGTGAATGGGTGAGTGTGACTGAGTGAATGGGTGAGTGTGAATGAGTGAATGGGTGAGTGTGACTGAGTGAATGGGTGAGTGTGAATGGGTGAATGGGTGAGTGTGAATGGGTGAATGGGTGAGTGTGAATGAGTGAATGGGTGAGTGTGAATGGGTGAATGGGTGAGTGTGAATGAGTGAATGGGTGAGTGTGAGTGAATGGGTGAATGGGTGAGTGTGAATGAGTGAATGGGTGAGTGTGAATGAGTGAATGGGTGAGTGTGACTGAGTGAATGGGTGAGTGTGACTGAGTGAATGGGTGAGTGTGAATGAGTGATTGGGTGAGTGTGACTGAGTGAATGGGTGAGTGTGAATTGTGAATGAGTGAATGGGTGAGTGTGAATGAGTGAATGGGTGAGTGTGACTGAGTGAATGGTTGCGTGTGAATGAGTGAATGGGTGACTGTGAATGAGTGAATGGGTGACTGTGAATGAGTGAATGGGTGAGTGTGAATGAGTGAATGGGTGAGTGTGAATGAGTGAATGGGTGAGTGTGAATTATTGAATGGGTGAGTGTGAATGAGTGAATGGGTGAGTGTGAATGAGTGATTGGGTGAGTGTGAATGAGTGAATGGGTGAGTGTGAATGAGTGAATGGGTGAGTGTGAATGAGTGATTGGGTGAGTGTGAATGGGTGAATGGTGGGGGAAACGGCGTTTTTGCTACTGTGAGGCTTGGGATGTTGAGTGCTGATGGTTTGAATTACTTTGGGATGTAATAGTTCGGTCCGTCATGTGGAGTGCGTTACAACCGAAGCCTATCGGCAGAGAAGGCAAAGAGAAGGAAAAGGAATGACGAAAATGCACGCTCAGGCAAGAATAGCCTATGAGCTTCTGTAGGTTTTTGATACGAATGGCTGTGTCTCTGACATGCAGACTCTATTTTTCTTCTCCTTGTTGAATCCTCCTTTCCAGCAACACGTGGGCGCGAGGGGCCAGCGCTGGCAGTGCCGCGGAGGACACGTGGCAAAGCGGGGGCAGGGGCGGCGGAAGGGGAGGATGGGGGGGGGGAGCGGCGCAGCAGCAGCAGCAGCAGCAGCCGCGGGGGATGGGGTGGGGAGGGGCAGATGCGGGGAGCAACAGACTAGGAGGCAATGGGGGCGTGGGAGGGATGGGCAGGATGGGAGCGGGAGCTGGGGGGGGGAGAGGAGCGGGTGGGATGACTGGGGTGAATGACAATGATGAGGATGCTTATATCGGAGCAGCAGGGGGAGCAGCGGGGGGAGTAGCAGGGGGAGCAGCAGGGGGGGGCAGGGCGTTTGGGGGAGGCATGGGGGGAGGTGCGGCTGCGTTTGGGGGAAGAGGGCGGAGCAGTGCTGGTGGCTTTGCAGGGGGAGCTCAGGGAGGTGCCAGGGGAGGGAGGGGAGGTATGGGAGGTGGGTTTGGAGGGGGGTTGGGGCAAGGGGCGGATGTAGACGGGGAGGATGACATGGGTATGGGTGCAGGCGCTGCTGCTGGCCGTGGTGCAGGTAGCACTATGGGTAACACGGGCGGAATGGGCGCAGGGGGGCTCCCTGCAAGGGGGAGGAGCAGGTTAGGGGCCACGAGCGCTGGGTTTGGCGGAATGGGGGGCATGGGGAGCATGGGGGGAGTGGGAAGGATGGGAGGGAGTGCGTCTGTTGGTGCTGGCTCCGGTTTCGGTGCAGGTATGGGTGCTGGGATGGTGGGAGGGGCTGAAACAGATGAGGACTATGGACAGAGCGGTGGAGGTGGATTGGGGGGAGTGGCAAGGGGAACTGCAGGGGCAGCAGGAGCAGCAGCAGCAACCAGAGGGTCATTCCGTGGTGCTGCAGGGGCAGCAGCGGCTGGGAGAATGGGTGGTGGGGGAATCGGCACTGGGGGAATGGGTGCGACGGGAATGGGCGCAGTGGGGCTGGGTGGGGAAGATGAGATGGGTGGGGCAGATGAGGAGGGAGGGATGGCAGGCACAGGTGTTGCTGGGGGGGGCGGGGTGATGGGTGGGAGGATGGCTAGTGGAATGGGTGGTAGTATGGCTGGTGGTGTGGGTAGTGGTGTGGCTGGCCGTTTGGGAGGTAGGTCTGGGAGCCTCTGGCAGCAGCAGCAGACGCAGACGCAGAGGGGGCAGGTAGGAGGAGCTGGAGCAGGAGGGATGTTTGGAGGGAGAGCAGGGCAGCAGCAGCAAGGTCTGGGTTTGGATGGAGACGAGGATTACTCTGCTGGCGCTGCTGGTGCTGCTGGCGCTGGTGGCGTTGGTGTTGCTGGTGGTGTTGCTGGTCGTGTTGCTGCTGGTGCTGCTGCTGCCACAGATGATTACAGCGAAGGCGTAGCAGCTGATTCCGGCGCTGCCATCAGCGGCACCGGCAGCAGCAGCAGCAGTGGAGCGAGTGGGATGTTTGGGGCGAGAAGCAGAGCCGGAAGCAGCAGCTTTGGCACCGCCAGCAGCAGCTTCAGCAGGCGAGGCGGTGTGGCAACAGCAGATCCGTATGGGGAGGAGGAGGGGGAGGGCACAGGGGCTAAGGCAGCAGGAGACGCCTCAGCAGGGGATGCTTTAGGCATGGACGGTGGGAATGGCATGGAAAGTATGGGCGGTACAGAGAGTGAGGGGTTGGGAGAGGAGGTGGATGAGGATGGAGGAGTGGGGTCCGGAAAGGCCGTGGTAGGATCCAAGACAGGGAAGGGCGAAGGAGGAGACAGCTCCTCCTCTTCGTCTTCCTCTGTTGGTGGCGGTCTGTTTGGTTTTGTCTCTCGCATGTTTGGTGGGGGTGGGAGCAGTAAAGCGCCCGGAAAGGCGGCAGGGGATGGGGCAGGGGAGGGGGAGGAGGTGGAGGGGTTTGAGGCGGGGAAGAGCACGGCTCAGTCGGCAGTGGAAGATGCCCTGAGGAGCACTGAGGAGGAGGGTGTGACTGGGGGAGGCTTTTCCAGGAGCAGGTTCGGCAGTAGCAGCAGCAACGGAGGGGAGGGTGGGGTGGATGATGACTACGGGTCATCGTCTGCTGCTGCTGCTGCTGGCACTGCTGATGCTGATGCTGATGCTGGTGATGACGCAGACGCAGATGCGGATGTTGCAGTGGGGACAGCAGAAGGTTTCAACAAGGGCCGGTTTGTCCGGGGTGCTGCTGGTGGTGGTTCTGGTGCTGTTGGCAGGGGTGGCATGGGTGAGGAGGAGGATGATTCAGAAGCTGCTGCTGCGCTTGGTGATGTTGCAACTGGAGCCAGCGGTGGTGATGCCTCAGATTCCTCTGATGCTTCTGATGTGGATGAGTCTGATTCGCCTGCTGCAGCTTCTGGGCTTGGTGCTGCTGGTGCTTTTGGAGGGGCAGGGGCAGGGAAGGCCGGGCGGCTGAGTGGGAGACTCAGTGGGAGGTTGAGTGGTGCGAGTGGTGTGACAGGAAATGCTGGTAGGGTGAATGCGAGAGGAGCGGGAGGGAAGACGAGTGCATTTGGATTAGACGCATCAGGATTGGAAGGATCGGAATCAGCCGCTGGGGGAGTTGGTGGTCGTGGGGGGATGGGAGGGGAGGGTGGTGATGAGGATGGCACAGGAGAAGGGATGACGACCATTCGGGCTACTAAGAATGCGTTTTTGGGTAAAAGGCGGGCTAATGTGGGTAGTGGTACGAGCTTGGGGGCAACCCAGGGTGTGGGGCTCGGAGGAGCGAGTCGTGTTGGCCGGGCAAGAAAGACGAGAGTGGGAGGAATGACATCACTAGGAAGAGCACAGATGAAGGCTTCACAAGACGACGATGATGAGCTGTCGCTTTGAGATGAGGGATGGTAGTTTACCATGTTTGTCTCCAAAGAGAATGGTTTGGGATAGTAGTGGTACAGTTTAATTATTTGCTATGTGCCTTTTGTGAATTACTATTTATCTCTCCAGGTAGCACTTAGGCAATCCTGACCAAATATAAAACTATATCTGAGTACAGTTTATGTTTTTTTCGCTATTGGGAACTCCGCGCAAGGTTCGAGTTCTCAAGGAGTCAGGCGGCCCGCAATTTTCCCCTCTGCGCGTCTGCGCCCTTTCCGCTTCCCCCTCTCCGCCACACGTTTAGGGTTGCTTGATCGTAGTAGTTAACTCATTCCCGCCAGCTCCGCTGCGTTTCCTGCAGCCGTGTTAGGGCGTTCGGGCGTCTACGGGTTGCTGTTTTTGCGCTGCCTTCCCGACGCGCCGCTCTCTCTAGTCAGCGTGTCTTCTCCTCCTTTCCGCTTCTTCCAAACGGTTTTTACCACCCACGCGGCGATCAACCATAAAATTCCATTCCGTGTGGACTCCGAACGCCTGTAACCATGTATCGCGTCGCCAAGGCATCGTCAGCGCGCCGTGCGTCGCAGATCCTCTCCCGCTCCTTCACTCACTCCCCCCGATCCACCACGTCCACCGCCCACTCCGCGCCAGCCCTCCGCCTTTCCGCTAATGACTCCCCCGCCGCTCCGCTTTCTCTCCTCCGCACGATCACCTCCGGCGCGTCCCTGCTGAAACCCGCGCCTTCCCCCACCGCTTCCGCGGGCGCCCCCGCGGCCGCTGCGCAGCCGGCGGAACCCGTCGCTCCGCCGCCTCCCCCGCCGGATCACATCGAAGTGTTCGTCGATGGCAAGGGCCTGCACGTTCCCAAGGGTTCGACGGTCCTGCAGGTCAGACTTGGGGGTTAATAATAGATTCCTTCGAGTCGCATATACCTCCGCTTCCTCGCTCTCGCTCCTTCTCTCCCTCGTTCCTTCGCTCTCTCGCTCCCCCGCCGCATCACATCGAAGTGTTCGTGGATGGGAAGGGGTTGCACATTTCAAAAAGCTCGACCGTTCTGTAGGTGAGCGTTGCTTGCGAGGAAGGTAGTGAGGTAAAGGCCTGGAAGTGACATGCTTTTTGTCAAATGTATCTCCCTCGCTCTTCCCATCATGGCTCCCCTACGGCTGGATCGGCGTTCATCCGCCGCTGGTGCCCCGGGATAGTTAAATCTATGCATCACATTCAAGCCTTTTTTTTTGTTTGTTTTTTTCCGATTCAATTTCAAGCATTTCCCCATATTAAAGAACCTGAACTTGTCCTCGAGCCGCCGTCCCTACAGGCTGGGGATGCAGCCGCCATCGACTTCCCGCGCATCTGCTGCTACCACCCACGGATGCTCATCAGATTCCTCCCTTTCCCCCGGTGTTTCTCCCCCTCCATTTCCCGCTTCCCGACCATCCCCACCCATTCTCCCCACCCGTCCTACGTCCCGCTTCCCCCCATCGCGCCAGGCGTGCGACGCGGCGGGAATCGACATCCCGCGCTTCTGCTACCACCCGCGGCTGTCCATCGCGGGCAACTGCCGCATGTGTCTCGTCGAGATCGAGAAGGCGCCCAAACCCGTCGCGTCCTGCGCCATGCCCACCATGCCGGGCATGAAAATCAAAACCACCACGCCGCTCGTTAAAAAGGCGCGCGAAGGAGTCATGGAGTTTCTCCTCCTCAACCACCCGCTCGACTGCCCGATCTGCGATCAAGGCGGCGAGTGCGACTTGCAGGATCAGTCCATGGAGTTTGGGAGCGATCGGGGTCGGTTCTACGGGTTTAAGCGCAGTGTAGAGGATAAGAACTTTGGTCCGCTCGTGAAAACGGTCATGACGCGCTGCATCCACTGCACGCGCTGCGTGCGATTCGCGAAGGAGGTCGCGGGGGTGGAGGACCTCGGGATTACCGGGCGCGGGCGCGACTCGGAGATCGGAACCTACGTGGAACGCATGCTCACGAGCGAACTTTCCGGGAACGTGATCGACCTGTGCCCGGTCGGCGCGCTCACGTCGAAGCCGTTCGCGTTCACGGCGCGGTCGTGGGAACTGAAGGGGACGGAATCCGTCGACGTGTCAGACGCGATCGGCGCCGCGATCCGCGTGGATAGCCGCGGCGGGGAGGTGATGCGGATCCTTCCGCGTCTGAATGAGGGGGTGAACGAAGAGTGGTTGACGGACAAGGGGAGGTTCGCGTACGATGGGTTGAAGCGCCAGCGGCTCTTCGCCCCCATGGTTCGCAGCGCGATCACTGGCCAATTAGAGGTCGCCAGCTGGCCCGAGGCGCTGGAAGCGGCGGCGAAGGCGCTGGTGGGAGTTAAGGGGGAGGAGGTGCAGGCGGTGGCAGGGCGGCTTGCGGACGCCGAGGCGCTAATCGCTCTTAAAGACCTAATGAACCGGCTCGGGTGCGATAATCTTCGCCCAGACGACGGGGATTGGGTGGCAGGAGGCGCGGCGAACGCGGATCTGCGGTCGTCCTACGTGGCAAACACGGGATTGGCCGGCTTGGAGGACGCTGACGTGGTGCTGCTGATCGGGACGGACCCGCGCAGCGAAGCGCCACTCCTGAATCACCGCCTGAGAAAGGCTGTGATTGGCCGACGCGCGAAAGTCGCCAACATAGGCCCTTCCCTGGATCTTACCTTCCCCACTGAGGGTTTAGGGGAGGGGGCGGACGTGCTAGTGAAAATGGCGGAGGGGAAGCATCCGTTCAGTGGGGTGCTGGCGCAGGCGAAGCAGCCGGCTGTGATTGTGGGAGCGGGGGTGATGAAGCGCGCCGATAGGGAGGCTGTGATGGCCGCCGTGCAGACTATTGTAGCGAATGTGAGTATAACGAGGGGTGGCTGTGGGGGATGTGGGTGTCTGGAGGGTGGGAGGAGGGCGTGTTGGAAAGAGGGAATGGGGGTGTTGGCGGGGAGGGGAATGGCAGGGTGCATGGAGGGATGCTGTGCTTTACCCTTCTTACTGTGTGCCCTCGCCGATCCCCTCGTCTCTCTCCCCATGCCTTCCAGTTTAGAGACTTCTCAAACCCTTATATTTTTTTCCTACATGTACCCTGCCCCCGTGCGCCCTCTCCCCTGCACCCTCCCCGCAATCCCCTCTGCACCCTCCCCGTTGCGCCCTCCCCTCCGCCCATTCCGTCACTTGTCCTCCCCTCTTACGCTTCCCTTCTGCATATGCCCTCCCCTCCTGCCCTCGTGTGTGTGTGTCATACCCGTGCGAGCAGGCGGGGGTGGTGAGGGAGGGGTGGAACGGATACAACGTGCTGCACCTCTCTGCCGGCCGTGTGGCCTCTTTGGACGTCGGCTTCGTGCCCGGGCCTCGAGCTGCCCTCTCCCGGTGAGTAGCGCGGTGAGTGTGCCCGTTGCTTTGCTTGTGTGTGTGTGTCCCCGACTCTGCTCAAGTGTGGTGGGTGCCATCGTGCTTTGAGACGTCTCAAAACCCTTCTTCAATCACGTGCTGCACCTCTCTGCCGGCCGCGTGGCCTCTCTGGACGTCGGCTTTTGTGCCCGGCCCTGCAGCTGCTCTCTCCCGGTGAGTAACCCTGTGTGTCTGTGTGTATGTGCGCCCGACTCACTTACGCTCCTTCCGCCCAGTGAGTGTGAGTGTGTGTGCCCCCTCTTCTGCGTGAGTATGGCTGCCAGCCTCTCCGCGTGGCCTCTCTGGACGTTGGCTTCGTGCCCGGCCCTGCAGCTGCTCTCTCCCGGTGAGTAACCCTGTGTGTGTGTGCGCCCTCTCTCTAAGTGCCGCCCTCTTCCAGTGAGTGTGTGTGTGCACGCCCCGTCTCTAAGTCCCCCCCCGTCTGGTTGAGTGTGCAAGTTAACGAAAATTGCAGCCAGCTCGCCTGCTCTCCCTCTTCCCTCTACCCACTCTCCTTCTACCCACTCTCCTTCTACCCACTCTCCTTCTACCCACTCTCCTTCTACCCACTCTCCTTCTACCCACTCTCCTTCTACCCACTCTCCTTCTACCCACTCTCCTTCTACCCACTCTCCTTCTACCCACTCTCCTTCTACCCACTCTCCTTCTACCCACTCTCCTTCTACCCACTCTCCTTCTACCCACTCTCCTTCTACCCACACTCCCTCTACCCACTCTCCCTCTACCCACACTCCCTCTACCCACTCTCCCTCTACCCACTCTCCTTCTACCCACTCTCCTTCTACCCACTCTCCTTCTACCCACTCTCCTTCTACCCACTCTCCTTCTACCCACACTCCCTCTACCCACTCTCCCTCTACCCACACTCCCTCTACCCACTCTCCCTCTACCCACTCTCGCTCTACCCACACTCCCTCTACCCACACTCCCTCTACCCACACTCCCTCTACCCACACTCCCTCTACCCACACTCCCTCTACCCACACTCCCTCTACCCACACTCCCTCTACCCACTCTCCCTCTACCCACTCTCCCTCTACCCACAATCCCTCTACCCACTCTCCCTCTATCCATTCTCCCCTTATCCACTCTTTCTCTATCTGCTCTTTCTTTGTCATCACCTGATCTGTCTCCTCCTCCTTCCGCCTCCCAGCACCCCTCCCAGCAACCCTCCCAGGTGGTGCAACTGCTGGGAGCAGGCGACTTGGCAGTGGCGGCCCCTGATCTGTTCCCCATCTTCCTCCCATTTCCCCTCCTCGTGGTAATATAAGTGTTTTGAGACGTCTTAAAACACTTGTATCATCACCCAGGTGGTGTGGTGCAACTGCTGGGAGCAGGCGACTTGGCAGAGGCGGCCCCTAAACTGTTCCCCATCTTCCTCCCATCTTCCCTCCTTTCCCCATCCACCCCACCGTCCTTCCCCCCTTCTCTTTCCCCCACCCTCTACTCGCCCGGTCCAGCACGCCTCCCAGGTGGTGCACTTTTGAGAATTCTCAAAAGTCACTCGAATACAGGTGGTGTATCTGCTGGGAGCAGATGACACAGACATTCCAGCAACCCTTATCCGTCCCCACTCCTTCTGCCCACCTCCACCCCTCCTTACCCCATCCGCCGCTC